TCTATCTATCTATCTATCTATCTATCTATCTATCTATCTATCTATCTATCTATCTATCTATCTATCTATCTATCTATCTATCTATCTATCTGTCTTTGTTCATTTATAGGACTGTGTGTTCAGTAACCTGCAGTTGGTACGAATGAATTTCCATATATAGTGTCTGTTCTTGCAGATGGGTGGTCACTGGGGTGGGTTCTTGAGAAAGTCAGGATAACACTAGCTCTAGAATCAGAATGCTGAACAGTGGCGATCAGCAATGGAGTATTTGTACAAATGTCTGAATTGGAGTAGTATTGTGTACATGCGCACACACACACACACACACACACACACACACACACACACACACACACACACACACACACACACATGATATACACGTGCCGTGCGCGCTCCCTCCTCTCCAACACCCGCCATCTTGGCCTAGGGTACCGGTACACATGTACTTGTTATTACATGTATCATAATTATGACAACACTAGACTATCAAACTGCTAAGAAATTATGTTAATCTAGTCAAGATTTATAGAATAAGATGGTTGTAGTTGTAGATAAATAGAAGAATAGGGGCTTTAAAAAATATTTCCGTTCTGGTTCTTGGATTCCTATAAATGTTGGAATTAATTATTTTTTTTCATCCTTGATTTTATGTGCGTGTATATTTCGAAAGTAGTCTGTCTGATCGCAAAAATTATATTTTGTATTATCCCCTCAGTAGTGTCGGTCATCATTTAAGTTTAAGCTTTTTTTTTTTCAGTTTTAGCTGAACGCATTTTGATATAGATTATAGGCCTGTAGAGTTTTTCTTCCATTGGGAGGACGCATTTTGTTATCTGTTTGGGTTTATCTTATCAGGGTTTTCATTTCCCCCTTTTTTGAGACGTTAAATTTCTACCCCAGCACATAAAGCCAAAAGTGCTACAATTGCCATGACAGGAAAAAAGAATTAAAAAATTAACGAACTCATTTAACAACGAAGTAGTAGCAGGGGAGATGAGACCATGAGACTCTGACGACTCTGATACACAGGAAGTTGTTTGGAGGTGTGCCGGAGGACGAATTCATAGACTTTACTTTTGCTTTTTAGCTGTGGTCTTAATGTTACAAGATCTATAGCTTTCTTCAATTTCAGACGAGTCTTACTCTTTATGCGGACTGTGCCCGTTTCAACGAAAGGTCATGTTGTTTGGGGTTTGAAAGGTAAGATTAATTTTATAGAAATAGAAAGGACTGGATGACTTTAAAGTTTAGGTTTAGGACAGGACTCAGCCAATAATCTTGATGACAGTATTGAGTAGATATCTATTTAGTTTTAGATCAGAAACTAAATTTTCAAAGTAGATCTAGATCTAGCTGTATGCCAAATTTATCTGTTCCATCTGAAAGGCCTAGATCTATATCCAGTGAGCATTTTGGTACCGTTTTTTAACCTCTCAGTTAATTTTTAAGAAAATGCTAATTGTTTAAAATTTGATCAAATTTGTTAAAGTCAGTCACTGGCTGCAACCCCATGTTTGACAGATAATAAAAGAGGGTAATTGTTTACTCTCTTGCGTTTAAATCCTGGGGAGGATTTCCGTAATGAGGGACCACTCTGAACTCTATGAATATCAATGGCCATCAAAATCAGTACGGAAGGTCTAAAATTTGGCCGGCACTATTTCTCAGAACGTTCGGGAAAATAAAGCTGGGCACTATTTCTCCGAACGTTCGGGAAAATAAAGCTGGGCACTATTTCTCCGAACGTTCGGGAAAATAAAGCTAGGCACTATTTCTCCGAACGTTCGGGAAAATAAAGCTGGGCACTATTTCTCCGAACACTCTGAAATCACATCCTTTCTCCCAAATTTCGGATATTATATAGATCTATAATTATAGTATAAGCTTACCAAAGATTGTTCGTATACAATATATGGTTCAAGCGGTCCAAAAAATGTCCGCAGTAAATATTTATATAAAGAAATGCTACAGTTCCAAACAGTTTTTCGCTACAGATATGGCGTGTTGCCTATGAAGGGTGCTGCTCTTAAACGTAATGTGTTGTGTTCACTCGTGTGCTGTCTAGATCTAGATCTAGATCTACGGAGGGTTATTGATAACGACACATAGAACTGGCATCTGCGTTTGTCACTGCTGCGACCAATGTACTGACACTGGCAAAGCCCCTTAATGTGTGTGATTCCATAATTTACATGTAATATCCTGTCCTTTTTTTTTAAAATTACGCACATTTAGGGTTAAAACAGCCCATCTTCTTCGGACAGGTGGACACACGCCCTTATTTGTTAATGTTTGTTGTTGTTTATGGGCTGTTCTAATTTTGATTTCTTTCTGTTGTGAAACCTTTCTTTTTCACGTTTTTACACTCATCTAAAAATTTCTAGACTAGCTCTTGAAAATTGAAATAGATATAGACCCAAAAATTTGCTCCTGTGTGTGTGTGTGTGTGTGTGTATGTATGTGCGTGTGTGTGTGTGTCTGTGTGTGGTAGTAAGTGGAGAGTGAGGAGTGTGTGTGTGTGTGTGTGTGTGTGTGTGTGTGTGTGTGTGTGTGTGTGTGTGTGTGTGTTTTCGGGCTTTATTTCAGCCTGTATTCAGTAACAGTTCAAAGTATACAAAAATAGAAACACAGGATCCATTCACTCCAGGGCTCATGAGTCGTTCGTCTCTTTCAGTTTCCCTCATTCATTCAATTCCCGTGTTCTCTCCCGCGGCTCATCCCTGTCCGCATGACTTTCTTCATACCCCACCCCCTCCCTCCAGGCACACACAAAGAAACTATCATTCTTTCCTTTGCACCCTGCGAACCATGGACAATAATATAGGCAAAACACTGCCTGAGCTGCATTCCTTTCTTTCGTGAGCTGTGGACCAGGCCAGGGGGTCGGTGTCGTCGTCTTGTCTTGTAGTTGCTGTCGCCTGTGGATACACTCGCACATTCTTCCTTTCACCCGCTCTTTCACTCACACTGTCTCTCCGTCCACAGCTCAGCTCGTCATACGTTCAAAAGTTGCCCACTGGTCATGTTTAGTTAGTGTGTGTACATGTGCATGATGGTGGTGGGTGTGTGGTGGGTGTTACTGAAGGTTGTCTGTAGGCGGGCTTGCCATGCGGTGTTCCTTCCCAGACCAGAGGCCAGAGGCAGAATGAAAGTTGGCGCCGAACTCTCGCAATAAATAGACAAAAAATCACGAGACCGGAAGCCGGAAACCGTTCGGAGAAATAAAGATCGGCACTATTTCTCCGAACGTTCGGAGAAATAGTCACTTCGCTAAAATTTAGACTAAAGCCAGTATGTTACAAGACTTAGATTTAGATCTACCTACAAATGATGAAACTGCTGTGGTTTACATATTCTTAATCCCCGCTCAAAGTTTTGAATATCCAGCCAGTCGGGGAAGCATAGAGTCTTGTCTAGATCTAGGCGCGGCTGGAATTTAATGCGAGAAAGTAAACAATTGCCTATAAGAGTACCAAGTGCACTAAACGTCTCCACATTAACAGAGTACAATCACTCTATAACGGAGCCTAATTTTTTTCAAGACTGTGAGATCATTACAAGTCAGTATTTTATGGCCTCAAACATGATGATCTGTCGTTATTTCGACAAAAACACAGAGCTTTGACACAGCTGGCGCCCCACCGGCCCCCCCGGCGAGCGAGTCGGCTTTATACTGAAGTGTCGTGCGGGGGTCACATGTTTTCCGAGTCTGGCGGAAGGATTGATGCAAAATAATTCCAAGCTAATTACTTTCATTCTTATAGGAAATAAACTGATCTTTTAATTGACACCTTTTGTGAGCAAGTATTTTACATATTTCGTGTAAACAAAAATCTTTGAAAATTTTGACGGTCTTTTTAAAGGCTTTCTATTTAAACGCCAAAGGCCAAAAATATACAGCGGGAAAGCCTGTTTAAAGCTCTACAGTTCACCGCCAATGAAAAGACGGTATTTAATCATCCCACGTTCCGCGAAGCATTTGAATGCACATGTGTCAATTTTTTAACCGGCCGACCACGCATTCCGACCGCGAGGGGCTTCGCTTTCCTCGGCGATTCTCCAGCTTCTAATAATCGGACATATAAACAACTTACACCATTGTAACAAGGAGGGGGGGGGGGCGGGGGGGGGGGGCAAGCTGATAATGACAAAAAATCACTTTTTTGACCAAAATGTGTTTCCATTAAAAAATGATAGTTCCACCATTTTTTAACAATGTGTTAAAATTAAAAGGGTTTTCATTGATTTGACTTCTAAATATTTAATTTTGAATTATTTTGAGGGTAGTGTATTTTTTTAAAAGATAATGAAAACTACTTTTTAAAGGTACTAAAATCTATTCTTGATGCACGTTTTCTCTTCCCCGCTATGTTTCACCATTGAATTCTTATCATGACATTGATGTCAACTGAATGTCAAATTGGAAATGAATTTTACTTGAAAAAATACATTAGAAACAATTGAATTATTATTTTTTTAAAAGTTTGTATGTGTTGTAAACTTAAAATCTAATTTTCTCAAAATTAGATCATTATACCCTACCTCGCAAAATGTGCAATATCTCAAAAACTACTTGAGATCTAAAAAAAAATTTTTAAGGCGGTGCTAGTCGCCCGATCTCGGGTGGCTAGCGTCAGGCTAGTAGACTGAATGCGGTCGAGTAGCCTGACACTACTGGCCCGTGGGGATTTCTGCGACCTTGGGTGGCTAGCATTTTCTGCCCATCCGTAGCCGGTCACCTAGATCTAGTCTTAGTCTTATACAGGGTGCCCACTATGGCTGGATCGGATCGATTGCCTGACTCGATCGCCTGAAACTGAAAACAAACAAGTTTGTTTTTGAGGCGACCGAGTCAGGCGATTGGCCGATCCTATCCGTAGTGGGCACCCTATATTAAGTAGCGTAAACACGGCCTCGCAGCCTTTCGAGTGACATGAACCTATTGAGAGCACCTAGCACACCTCTGTGATTGGCCCCCAAATAGATCATATGTTTTTCCGCTATCTTTTTTTTGTTGTCTCCCGAAGTTTCCCTCGCGGGTTGACTAGTTCCCTTAGATCTATCACCCTTTATTATTAATTATTATCATTCATCGGAATGCCGGTGACAAAGTTACTACTATCAAATAGAAATGCAGCGTCGTGATGTTATTAAAGATTGTCTAACTACTACCAAGATGTTTCAGTTGCCCAATCTCGCGTCAGAACGAGACTTGGGCACTAGATCTACCTCGTCATAGCATGTGATGGCCCGTGATACTAGTAGTAAACAAACATTCCAGCGCTGAGTTGAAAGCGAGAAATTTTGTCTGCGGGCAGAGAGAGAGAGGGAGGGGGGGGAGAGAGAAAGAAAGAGTGAGTGAATACGAGAAAGGGAGAGAGAGAAAGAGAGAGAGAGGGGAAAGGAAGGGGGGGGGGGGGTGGTTATTTGAATTACTGATTCCTGTCATTTCTCTCTGCCTCGGTTCACAAGCTGACCCGGTGCAATACAGTTATTATTGTACACATTATGGCCCGTCCCATCTTCATACATTATTCATGTATTATAATATTGTCAATTTTGGTCAGATCATTGAGAGTCAAACTTTCACGTTAGTAATGTAACCAGTAACAATCTGACAAGACTATTAGATCTATCTAGATCTATGAGCCTTTCCTAAAAGTTTGTCTTTCTGAGGTACCGTTCTCTTTGTAGATGTATTCAGGAAGAAAGAGAATGAAAATCCAGTCATATTTGGTGTCAATAGATCCGGTGAATGCCCCTGATAAACTGGAAGAAAAGTTAGGTAGATGGGGGGAAGGCGTTTTAACAAAAAATAATATATAAAGAAAAAGCCACATGTATGACATGGCCTGTAATATAACTTAAGTAACGCGAACCCCCACCACACCTTATTTAGACCACACATAATAGCCGAAATAACCAAACTTGTGTATAGCATGCAGAAAATCGACCAAATTTGTTCGCCCGAAACATGCGCAGAAATCCGTGCGGGCCAGTAGCGTCAGCCTACTCAACCGAGATCGGACGACTAGCCACTCTGATTAGAAAAACACTGTGTTCAGCATTTAATTTCCTGTTAGGTACAACCCTAACTCAAAATGGTTAAAATCTGAATTTTGGTACCTTTCTTCAGGCACACGCACAAATAATAGACAGAAAACAATGGGAGACAAAAAAGACGTCATCATCATCTTCAAGCACCATTTCAGTCTCATCCACACTTGTGTAATAAGTAATCCTCTGAGTCCTCCTTTCTCTGATTCTTCTTTTCTTTCTTCTTTGCTTTGCTTTTCATTCTCTTCTTTTATCACTACTATATTCCTCAGCCTTCTTCTTTTCTCTTCTTTCTGTCAATCTTAGCTTCACTCCTTTTTGTACCATCTCCATTGACCATTTAATGTCTTGTTTTTTTCACTTCATATGTTTGTGGTGCCCCTTGTGAAAAAAAATGTGTCTAGAAGTCCTCTGTATTGATAGAGATGGCTTAGATTCAAATCCAGGCTGTTAACAAAATGCAGTATAACACAGATAAGTATAACACAGATAAGTCGAACACAGAAGACTCGAAATCACGCTTCTGTCGAACTGCTTTCGGTCCCTTTTTCTTCTTCTTTATTTTTTAATGATATTCCTTGAACTACGGATCTCTCAAACTATTGAGGCCGGTCCAGACGAATTCGAGCTATTTGTGTTATACTGTACGTTTTGTGAAATGCCATCCAGTGCTTTTCTCTATCACAGTTCCTTTCCAACTGCTCCAAGCCCATTTCAAGGGGTTCTTTCTTTCTGTTGGCTACAGTTTGCTCATTTCTAAATGCTGCCCTGCAGAAATTTAATTTGTCGACCCATTTTACATTTTTAAAAACCCAAACTCTACAGGCTCACATTCTATTTCATTCAGCACAATATATAACACAATATTAGACAAATTTTGGGAGGGAAGATGTGTGTGTGGAAATTGAAGTGAGTAATTAAAGTAAAAATGTTTACTACAACTACAATGTTTTGGTTTCTTTGCAGGTTACTCAAGAAGTCGACTGAGTGAAACGAAATGAAAGATGTGATGTGCTAATATTATTATTATACGGTTCTCTGTAGTCTCTCTCTCTCTGTACAAGTGTCAAAAGAGGCTGGAGAAATATGATCAGATTGAATTTTTTGCACAGCATCCACAGATCCTTCAGCCAGAAATGCTTGGCGGGTCACCAAGTAAGCTTGTTGTCTGTGAAATGTCGATTAGGAGTGGGGTGATAAACAATTCTATTGCTTAATTTATGCTGTAATTCACAACTAAACTTTTCTTTTTATTAAAAAAGAAACGTATAATGCATGATATTCGTTTGGGTAATAGAGTTAGGGGGGGGGGTGTTTAAGAAACCCAGCTAGTGTTGTGCAGTGGCTAGATTCTTGCGTTTAATGCCGATTGTGCTGATTTAATGGCAGCGTAAGTATAAAAAATAATTTTTTCACTTTAGTGCAACAGAGCATGCCAAAATATTTGGCAAGAAAAACCTGTTGTGGTTGGGGTTTTAAACTTTTTTTTGGTAAGTGTTTTACGGTGCTTGCAACTGCGTAAGGTCATATGACACATTAAGCATTTTCAGTTTGGTAGGAATTTATTTTGAATATTGCTTGGGTGGAGGCCAAAGCCTACTCTTATTCATATTTGGATCACCAAAGGATCTTTAATTAATGTGCACAATTTGCACATGGGACCTCTGAGATTTTTTCACCCTTATCCAAGAAGGCTAATTGTTCGATCATACCAACTCTAAGATCAGGGGCGTTGCTGAAAGATAGCAGTAAGAAGGAGCCTGGAGAGTAGCAGTAGAAAGGGTCAGGAGCCCAGAGAAGGGGGGGGGGGACGCAGAAAGTGGAGATAAAAGCAGATGACGGAACATGATTAGAGAGCAGGAAAGGGGTGAAAGGAGAACATTTTAAAGAAGAAAATTTTCCATTGCTGTCAGTGGTCAGGTTTCGAATCCGGGACTTGTTGAAGGAGAGGCGAACACCGTACCTCTGAACCACAATAGCCCCCGAAGTGATGTTTTCAGTTCGAACCCAAAAATTGCACATCTTATCAATTATGAGACAAGACATTCGTGAAAGACTTACTTTTTTTTTGCTTTTGTATGGTATTGGTATTTTACTTTGAAAATTTGATTTAGTGGGTTGCAGATTTCATGGATCTACATTTGTTTTGTTTTTCATGAATTCATAACAAAGAAGTTGGTTCACCAAATTTTTTTTCTACTTTGAAGCATAAGAATAGATTAATAACTGCAATTGAAAAAGGATAGATGAACTTGTAAAAATATAAACTAACCTGCCACATATTAAAATTTTAAAAAATAATTACATTTTAAAAAAATGTGCACTATATGTAATCCTTTGAATACAGACTGACTCAGAGACTCATGAACAATATTTTAAAAACTATTTTGTAGACCTTCTGTCTGATAAAGAATCTTTGGTTCTGTACAGTTTTATTTTTGGACCCTCTGGATTCTGTTCAGGATGATAACTCCTGGTCTTTTTTCAGAGATGCAGTTCTGTGCTACTGCGAAATTGTTACCAGGCGCAAGCCACCCCACAACGCTGTCTCATCACCTTGACCCGACGACAGACGTTTAAGCCCCAGTATGCACGAGACAAAGTGGAGAAAACTTATGACCTGGTATATGAAAATGCTCTGAAGCACATCCTTGGACCTTGCCGATTGCTCTCCACTGTTGCTGGACTTGCTTCAGCTGGTGGATCAGTGTACGCTCTTTTGACCTACTCCGGCATGATGGAAGGATGGGATGTGTTCGCTCTTGTCTCTGTGTTTGGAATTTCTGTGGTCAGTGTAGGAGTTTTCAATTGGATTGCCCGCTATTATCTCACAAGAATCTATTTCAATGCTGATAAAGAACTCTTTGTTGGTGTGTACCATACTTTGCTAGGGCGTGTGAAACAGATCAAATATTCCACAGCGGATCTCAGACTTATCCAGACTCCAGAAGTCAGTGCTAAACTTCATTTAAAGAGCAATGTCATCATTAAAGATAGAACATTTCACTTGAAGGGATCTGATTTCTTGTTGCCAAAATACTACAACATGCATTTACAATTGTGACTGCATTCAGTTTTTATCTGTAGATCAAGGTCTGACAAGTGCCATGGATAGATTGTTATCATCACCTGGAGCTCATGTTCATGTTTGTTAACTGTACAGGTACACTCATTGGATTCATGTATTTCTGCTGAGTCTTTCTAAACAGCGGCCTTGTTAACACTTTATTAAATTGGTTTCCTAGATCTTTTTGTTTTTTCTTGCTTTGATGTTATTTAAGAAAAATTGTTAACAACATGCACACTGAAACACAGGATATGTAGTAAGCCTATTGTGGACTGCAAGATTTGCTATATAGGTTATAATAGTTATTGTTCCACACAGTCTGAGCTCTAAGAGTAAGAGGAATGTAATTGACCATCCAGTTGTCAAATTTTGGGCGAGCATTATGCACGTCAAAGAGACATTTGGTAGTTGAGAGAAAAAAAGCAGACTCCTGAAAGTTCACTGCTCCATAAAAATTTGTTAATATCTGCTCAATATAGATTTTGGTCCTTATTTAATTGCCATATTAGTGATCTCATTTATATTAGACCCATCATTGACTGTGACTGTGAAATGTGAGTAAGTACATTACATTTCAACATTAAGATAAAACAAAAGAGAATATGAACAACAGTGATTAGATCTATTTGTTAGTATCTCATTACAGTAGGACATGGCTATAGCGGGACTTTTATTTCCAGAAGAAAAATCCAAGTTCCCACTATAGGAATGCAAAGGGGAATTATGGTACCGAAAAATCACACACTACACGCTCTTTTCTTCTTTTATTGTCTTTTTGGCCTAGACATATTTTGAGTGGCTCATGTAACGCGTCTCTCCGCACCATCTCCCTTTGCCACCTGCCCCACCTAACTCATCACTGGACTGGCCAATCAGTATCACAACTCCACACTGCTGACTCAACTCATACTGACTGCCTTTCCCCCAGCTAAAGCTTGCTTGATCTCCCCCGCTGTATCCAAGTTCGGGCCTTTCCTTGCCCCGTTGAGAACAGTTAATTGAGTTTACATAGAAAAAAAAGGGGGGGATTCCGGTAACATCCCACTGCGGCAGGTGCCACTGTCGTCATGTTCTACTGTACTTATTTAATTCATTTTTATTTTCTAGCTTTTGTCACCTATTCTAGCTCCCTGGGGCTGTCCTGGGAGGGGGATGGGGTTAGACATCTTACTCCTTTCTCACTCTCCTCAATTTTTAAAGATATTTGTCACCCCCCGGGGCAGTGCCACTGACTGTAGTGTCTTTAGGCCTTTCCTGAATAGGGACATTTCTCGTTCAAGCACAGTAGAAAGAATTGTAAATGGGCTGATTCCTGTCACGCTCATAACTGTGCCTGATCTACAACAGGGAACTGCTGCTTTTTCTTTCCTAATCCTTACTTTTGTCATTTTTCCTCTACTTCTTTTGTATGTTTGTCACTCTCTTGTGACTTGCTATTTTTGGGGTGCCTTGATAGTCGAAGCAGACCTTGTGCTGTTGAAGCTAGAGAGGTGAGCAAAATAAGTCAGATTCCCTGTAAAGTTTAGACTTCTCTGTTGACACCCACCCCTTGGCGCTCATATGACCTTATGCAGTTACGAGTGCCGTAAAACCCTCTACTATAAAAAAAAAAGAAAAGATATTTAAGTGTCTTCATAAAGGTAGCCTACTCTTAACAATTTCAACATATAGAGCAGATTTATTAACGTCACCAATAAGAAACAACCCCTGTTAAGTAATAAAGGTCAGCCCAAAAAGTCACAAGGTGCTGCTTTTAATTGTTGATGATAAATCTACTCAATGTGGTTGAAATTGTTAAGAGTGCCTTAAAAAATAGTAGAGCTGCTTAAAGAGTAAAGGCTTCTTAACAAGTCAGGAAAATCGGTTTATGGGCTGAACAAATTTCAGCATCAGGGTGCACTGCTCAAGGTCATTGAATCCACATAGTCTGAGCTCTCAGAGTGTAACTCGGAATTTAAAAAGAAAAGGACTAAATATGAAAAATAAAACACTCTGAATTCCATCATATTCATGTTATTGGCAAGGCTAAATTGTATTTTTTTGTTATACAGTATCTACACTCAGTCAGGACAGAATATTTTCCTGCAACATTGCTATAAAAATAAATTAATAACTGTCAAGAGAAAAAGATGATTAAAGTAAAGGTTACATTTGTATTATAGCAAGACACAACAAAAGGATTATATAAGTATAAGTTTATCAGTCAAGACATTACACAGTATTTTCCTTCAATATAAATATATAACTTCTTATGTACAAATGCTGTGTCCATCTGAGAGTTTTTAATGTGTGTGTGTGTGTGTGTGTTTCTCTGTTCACTCAAACAGGCACTCGAGTGAATTGAACTTTCATGCTGCTATGTGGTGTAGGTGCACATGTAGCCTATCATGTCTGAAAGTTGAGAGCATGTCTGTGTGCGCTCGACTTAAATGTTTGTTGATAACGTGGGTGAGAGGGAGAAATGTGTTAGCATGTGAAAGAGTAAAATGTAAGTAGAGAAAAAAAGAACCAGTGCAACATATATATATATTATATATGCTTTGAAAATGCTAGTACGGTATTATATTGCACAAGAACATAATAGAAATTCTCTTTGTTAAAACTCACACCCGCTGATCTTTGTGGAACATCTGAAAGTCTTCACTGATGTTTGGTACTAGATGTACTAGAAGTTTTGCTTCTGTTATAATACACATCTTAGAGTTCATGACACCCACTATATACTATATGATAGGCAGAGAGTTTTTTCTATGCAATGAGATGTGGCAGACTAGATTTCTCAATATTTCATCACTATATTCTTTTACCATTAAATCGTTTTTTTTCAAACAACACAAAGTGTCCTCTCCACATAAAACATCAGGACTACACAACAATAAGGGCCATTCACTCAAACACTGGGCAAAACTTTCTAAAAATCTGTTAAAACTTGGTTCATACTCTGTTTTAAAATGAAAATCTACTCTGTCTCCGCCCCTGTCATAATTAATTTAATACGTCACAGAAAATTATATATAATTTTGGTAAACTTAGTTTAACTTCATTATATCAACTTCAGCAAAATATGTTTCATCCCAGATACTAGTGGTAAAATATAATCATTGGAACAGGGTCGGAGCTAACATCACAGGAAAGGTTCTGCTGCAAAACTTGGTAATAATTCATATCCAATATTGCCTAAGTGAGAAAATAGTGGAAATATGATGACCAAAAATAGTGCTAATATAACAAAAGAAAAAGTTCAAATGCTATGGAGGTGGTCTTGGTTGAAGATTTTCACAATACAAATGACATTAGTTCATCAGCCACACAAGTAAGGGATAGATTTATAATTTTCATCTTGGAGACTTCCAAAGATCAGATGAGTTCAGTTCTCCAACAGGCTAGAAAAATGCAAGCTTTCCCTAGCAGTGCTAATATTACAATCACAAGACAAAAACAGAAGGTAGGAAAATGTGTTCACATCATGATCCTGTTCCATTAAATAACAGATGTAGGCCTTCTTTTGTGTTCAATATAATTCATGCTTGTGGGGAAAGAAAAGTAAAGTGAGTAGTTGGCGGGTGCTCTGGTGTGGTTTGCTTCTTCTTTCCTATCAAACATTGTCTCTCCTCCTTCTTTTTTATGTTTGTTACTCTCTTGTAACACCTCTAATCATCGGTACTTATATGACTTTATTGTGTTCCAAGTGCCGTAGAACACTAACTAAAAACTGAAAGAAAAGTACAGACCATAACATTTAAACAAGACCAGTTTTATACATTTGCACTATTCGTATCGAAGCTCACTTTAAAAGAGATATATATATATCACATTGAGTGAAAGACAGAAGTATGAAAGTGAAGAAATGGAAGGGCAAGGAAATGATTACCATTCAGGTATCCAAAATCATTATTATATCACCGTTTTCAATTAATGTATTACTTCGAGCAAAATATGAAACACGGGTATTGCATAAAATGCAGACACTAAATCTATTGAGTTTTATACCACAGTACTTTTCCAATGGCACCTTACATTGAAAAAATCTCTCGGACAAAAAGTGCATTTTATGTTCACAATCTGCTGAGAACATGAACGTTTTTTTTTCATTATGTAGGTTAGCTATAATTTATAATTGGTTTCAGACTTTTACTTCAATTTTTCCACAAAAAGAGTCTTTCACTTTCATTCATGTTCAAGGTAGAAATCAAATGACTCTCAGCTGATCAGATTTTTATCAACGGGGTGACAACAAGTGTTGAAGGGTATGACAACAACAACCCAAAATTCCACTGTTCAAAAAGTAGACAGTATTGGTCACAGGCTTGTTTTACAGAAAACAGAAATAATACTGATTCTGTCTCTTTACTTCATTCAATGTATTTTGAGAGCTATTTAATTTATTGGTATTATGTTTAATGAAGGAAAGCAATACAGTGGAACTCAGATTCAACAAGGTCGCCAGTCCTGATCTAAAATCTCGTTGAATCCGAGTGTGCGTTAGAGCAAACATGAGGTTTTGTGTAGATAATTACAGGCTTTGAGCAAGTAATGTATAAAGAGAAGTAACAAGTGGTGCCTGAAATGCCTCCATATTATGAACTGAAAAAAACCCAATTCGTTCAAATGCATGCCTGTGTCATCTCAATTGTTTGCCAAAAAGTTGTGTTGCTGTGTAGAGCCTAGCATACAGCAACTTTTGATTCCATAGACAGCACACAATTCATTACGTAGATCTACGTCAAGACTAGCTTATTGTAAAATTGTAATAATGATTAGTTGCCGAGAGAAAAAAGACTGACGCGTTATAGTTACAGTATCTGCGATGTTCCACGCACTGACTGCTGGTGCCCCCCCCCCCCCCGACACGCACACACTGTCACACATGTGCAGGCCACCCATCGGACCCGGACACTGACACACGCTGGAGTAGATACGTGTGCGTGCCAACAATGCATGTGTTGGTATGAAAGAAGGCCACTGATTATTTGCATGCAATCGGGTAAGTGAATAATGGTTCATGATGCGGGTTCAATGGATGGTTTCCGGGAATATAAAAAAGTTTGTTGTGGGAGATTAATTAGCAAAATTAAAGCCACGTCAGCAGGCGCTGTTCACCCTGGAAGCAACCTCGTTGATTCCCGAGCTTGCGGATTTAAGTGTTCGTTGAATCCATCTCTTGTTGAATCCGAGTTCTCGTTGAATCCGAATTCCACAGTATTTCATGGTAGTGAGGAAACCTGATATCATATGATTACAGGGATGGTGGGACCAGAGAAAAAGTGCTGCTCAGATCCCTGTTAAATCAGAAATGCAAAGGAAGAAAGCATTTGAGGACTAATCCAGCTGTATTTATTCCTGGGTAGTTTCCCTTGCCACAAGCACCTGGTGGCTGGCCTGTGCTTGACACATCGCGCGTGTGCGTGCGGGTAGCTAGGCTAAGGGCTAGATCGAAGTCTGCAGCATACCGCAGCCCTCTCTCGCTTCACCCACTGCGTGTGCTTGCAGTGGCGCGGCTTGCGGGGGCTTGCTCCATCACTGTGTTACTCTCTCTCTCTTATTTTTTACACATTGTTAACGAGCCTTTGTCCCTGCTATTACCGATTGGGCTCCAACAAGGCTCTGTTATTGCCAATAACTTTTAATAGAGACAAAGAGTAGGAAAAAAAGGGAACTAAAAAAATCCCTGTTATTACGTGGCCTGTTATTATGGTTCCCACTGTACTACTGTTAGACATCAATTAATAATTTTTGGAATCTCTGATTTCAACAATTTGCATAAAATTAAAATACCATTGGCATGTATTTTTGAGTTTTATTAGCATTTCCTTCTAAATGAATTTCAAATTCATAAATAAACAATATTACTGGTATAACAAATTTGTCTCTCTGCTGACCCCTTTCAATATGTTACATGGACATACGATGCAAGGGGCAAGAAATAGAGCAAAGCAGCTATGACCAATATATCATATATATGGCAAATCATAGTCAGAGGAGATCACTGCCATCTTTTAAAAACAAAGCAGGCCCAAAGCTTGATCATTCATCAAGGACAAGACCATTCAACCTCAAGACCACTTGTGTCCTCACAAGACTCTGCAGGAAAGCTCTTGATGATGCGACTTAGGTAGGTAGGGGCCTACAGTATCATCTTTGATACTTTAAAAGACTTTGAAAAAAATAAGGAAAGAAGAAGCATAATGTATGCTAGTGGGTCATCTCTGGTTTACGAGCAAAGAGTGAGCACAGTGAGTTTAAAAAAATGTATGATTCTGCTGAAAAATGATCTCGAACGGTTGCTTAAATTTTCTGACATCGAGGAACCAATTATAATGGCTGCTTCTGTAGCAGTAGAAAGAGAAAATACAGAAGGCAATTATACTGTTCTTCCACAGGAAGAAATTGACAGGACTAAGGACAGTTTCACCAGCTCTTGAAACAAAATATACAAATGGATTACACTTGTACTTGTACTTGTACCACATTGACCTGAAAACACATTTTGTGTTTATCACTTTTAAACTCTCAGTCGTACACAAAGTTCATGGTACTCAAAATGTCAAAACATCCAATTTAAAATGAGCGTCCAAATTTTGACCTGTCGAAATGGGAGGATAAACATTGCAATCTGAGGGAGGTATGTGAAGAAGAAGCATATGTCAGAGTGATATAGGCGCTAAATTCTGAACAAATCAAGATGAAAAAAAGAAAAAAGATTTCTCAGAGGTATAAATTCATGCCTGAACTATTCTAGACCAACTAATGGTGGTGTTGGAAATGCTGTAGCTTAAAAACTATAAATATAGAGGAAGACGAGAGCAAGTTTCTACATATTCACATTTGTACATGCAACACATATTTCACATTTCTCAGCTGTCTTTCATATCAAGACTATCGCTGTAGTGGTTGGACAAGGATTGACTGTTGTTGGTGTTGCCACTGCCGCTAAAATTGTGCGACCTGGAGACAGAGGAATATGCAAGAGTGGACTTGAGTTGGTCATAGCTCCAGTGCATCTGCTCAATTTCCTTATGGTGTTTGTGTTTCGTTTCTTGAAGTTCTTTCAGCAGGTGATCGTTTGTTTCCACCAGAGATCTGTGCAGGGAGACAAATAAAAGACTCACACATGGAGAAAATGTTAATAACAAATGTCAAAAATCAATGGTAGGCTACTACTATCAAATAAACATTGCAAAATTTCTCTAGGCTAACTACCTAATAAATTGCAAATATCTTCTAAAGAAAGGATATGGAAGAAAAAGATCTGAAACACTTTAAAAACATGTTTTTAAAAAGTAACTACAGCATGGCCGATCAAAAATGGCAAATCTTAAAAATAAATTCACATTTCAGGGATAAAACTAACAAATATGTTGTGCTGTAAAAAGACAGGGCAGAAACACAATGTAGAAATAATTATCATTAGAGCTAGGTCTTTAAGAAAAAGATATGGTTGAACTGATGATTCATCCGACTAGAGCTACACAGAGAAAAGAAAAAGATATAATGGCCATTTGGTCATGCAGAGAAAAGACAAAGTACGCAAAATCAAACAACGGATTGCCCAGAACACAACAACTCACTTATGACTCTCTTGCAACATGCTGGCCAGCTCCTGAACTTGGCTGAATTGTTTTAGTTTGGTCCTCATCAAGTCGATCTCTTGATTTAGTGCAACATTCTGTCGGTGAAGGTCATCTGAGCAAAGAAGAAGCAAATTTTCAAGCGCACTACATGAAGGCTCTCTTTTTTTAGTCCCAGTGCAATATTCTATGCAACATTGAAAGTTTTTAAAAAAAGGACCAAATTAAAAAATAAAAACCTTCTAAAACATATCACAAGAATATAAACAAAAAAACATTCCACATATTATATAATGCAGTGGCAGTGGCAGTAAGATCTTGAGCTGAGACCAAAACGTTCTCCTCCAGTTAAGAAAGTAACGTGACAAATAATGATTTTGAAGAAAAGCATTCACTGACAGGTGTAAGTCTTTTGTAGAAAGGAAGATCAAGTGTCATTCAAGAAATGAAGAGCGGGTCCTTCAACCAGTGTAAAATAATTCATACATATCTGGCCCTGCGGAAAATTTCATTTTTAAAATAGAAATATTGCACAAAATTGCAAGGTTAACTGTCTAAAAATTGCAACCTTCCCATCCCAGGCGCATTAAAATAGGCTTATTTAGATTTTCAGTTTAAATAATATCAACACGCGAGTACGTTAACAATAAGTTATCAACCAAATAAAATATAATACCGCTTGACACAAAAAAAATGGATGTTTTCGTAATAACTTTTAAATGAAAGCATAAAATTTAACCAAATTTAGTACATACTGGGTACTTGGTTCATGCAAAGATCTAGAAGTGCATGAAGTTTTATGAGGTTTAGTCAAAAAACAAAAATTTGATGGAAGATTTATGAAACAACCTCTTAAATTACAAAATATGCTTCAATCAGTTCAGATCCTGTTCTTGAAACCTTCGATACACCTGTAATCTGTACAGTAGTCTCCGCCTAAACGCACGCCATACAAAAGCACGCTCCGCTCAAAAGCACACTTTCGTCATCTGATGGGTTTTTTACTGTATAATTTAGATGTACAAACGCACGGTCACGCCCTCTAAACGCACGCTCCGATCCTCTAAACGCACGCTCCGATCCGCTAAACACGCCGACAAGTTGGGGGGACTCAAATGTTGTTTGATTGGCCACTGGAAATGTATCTTTAAGAGAAGGTTTCTGACTGGTGTTTGAGTTTGAGTGACTGCGTGTTATGTTTAGTTAGATCTAGGCCTGTTGCGCGAAACGCGTAAATGCCGTAAAACACTAGACAGGCCTCTATAGGATTAAAGATTAGCCAAGTAAGCCTAATATTACTAATAAGCTGCGCTCGAAGAACTTATAACGTACTTGTTCAACGAATCACAAGACAAAATGTTTCTCGAGGATGATTCAGCATGAAATTACCGTCGAGGGCGGTCGCTTGGAAAGCCACTTGGCTGGTCCGTCGTCTCTATGACTATGACCAACAGTTTCCTCTTAGGCTATCTGTTCCCGACGTTTATAGTGCATATTCATTACTTTGAGTTTCTTTAGAAAATAGCATTCCAAGTTCCTGCCGATAAAAAGTTCAATCGGTGCTTCCAAACAAAAGAGATAACAGAACTTTTTTTTTTTTTTTAAAAAGAATCGGACGCAACAGACGCAATGACAAAAAAGCAGGATACTGCCGGCTGAAATCAGGAAAATCGGGATGGTAGAGATTTGGGGCAAAAAATCGGGATATCCTGATTAAATCGGAATGAGTGGCAGGTCTGGTTAATGTATTTTTGCCTAAAATTGCAAAAAATTGTGGTTTTATTGCGGAACTTGAAAAAAAACGTGGCTGCAACTGCGATTTCCTGGGGGGGGGGGCGGGGGCAGACATGTATACATATATATATATATATATATATATATATATATAATATAAATGTAAGTACGTCTAAAGAAAAAAAAAAGAATATATACAACAACAAAGCAATAATTACCCAGAACGCTCTGGTTTGCCGTCGAGGTCTCAGAAGCTGCTGCTCCGCTGTGATATCGTGAAACAGGAGCCGCTGACTCCAAGCTGTCCAGTCTTTTCTGCAGAGCTCTGTTCTCATGTAAATAGTGGCGGATTTCTTCATGCATACGAGCCTTGAACATGAAGGAGAGGAAAACAAAGTAGATGTCATTCAGCAAAATAATATCCAACATCATTAATACAAGTAAGAAACAAAAAGGTCTAGCGAAAAAGAATTGTAAAAAGACAAAGAGAAAAACGAGCAAAAAGAAGGAAAAAGGACAGATGTCATACAAAATAAAACCAGGAAGAAAAGGAAGTAAAGGTACAAAATATCCCACCAAACACCAGTTGGTAGGAGTAGGAGACCATTCTATCAATTATATATATTTGTTGTCTCCAGGGAAGTATTTTCCTGACGCTTTTCCTACATATATATATATATATTCTAGTGATGCTGAAACCCTTTAAAATTTAACTGTGTCTTTCTGAGCTCTCCCATTAAAGATCTAGTGGACACCAACTCTATGTCATTGTTCCATAATGCCTCCCAGGGGCAAAACTAACCATGTCATCCTTCGCTCTTTTCAAAGAAATCTTCATCTCCTCCTCTGATGGGGAAAGGAGTTCAGCAGTCTGATTTGCTCGCAATGTCGCATTCTCTTCTTTCAATTTCCCGATGGTCTGGCGAAGAGTTCTTGTTTCCTCCTCCTTACCCCCTTCAGCACTAACGAAATCATTTAGTAATCTCCCAGCTTGTTCTGGTGGAAGAAAGCATTTTATTGCAGAAAAATACATTATAAATATGATATTAAAATCAGCACTTTATTAACCCTATCCGTACGTCGTGTTTTACAATCGCATCCATACGATGAGGGGAACTCTGTTCCACCACTTTCCAAAGGGGAAATTTACTCATTAATTCGATCCGTACGCTTTGCACAGCAGTCTGTCAAAATTTATTTTTTTAAAATACTGAAAGTTTCTAAGAGATCTTCGCACCAGAAGTATTCTAAAATGTGAAGAATACAACCCGGGGGGTACAAAATGACCCCAGGGCGTACGGATAGGGTTAAAAAAAAACACTTGAAAAGTACCAACCACAAGATTAAGATGAACACTACCGTACTTTTATTAGCATTTTGAAGAACAAAAGAAAACGTTTTTTCCAACACACTGCATAGTTAATAAAGTAGAAGGGCCTTTAACTTTAATCAAACCAATATATCAATTCACTTAGCCCAAAGTTATTAGAGAGTGGGGGTTGGGAGGGGGGGAATACTTCAAAACAAAAGCAAAAGCAGTTAAACTGAGCTTTCTACTTTCCCTTTTCACACGCATCATGATATAAAATATTGATACAAACAATCAATAATTAGAAAGTCCGAAGCATCAAAACTTTTCTTTTTTGTCATTTATCATTCAGTTTTATAACCACAGAGCACAGTTAAATATCCATACTCACCAACAAATTTTGTGTGATTGTGCAAAGACTGAGAGCCATTCCAGTATCTGTCCACAAGGTTGAGTAAACTATTGAGGAATTTTTTGTGCGCAATGTCCATATCTGTATGTCCCTCCCCTCTCAGCACCTGCCACAGTTGAGAAATGAGAACAGAAAAATAAGATGATTCACACTGGGGGATCTACTGCATTTCAAGTCTTTCTTGTGATGGGGAATGCACAAAGATATTCTGAAATAGATTATCAGACAAAGGCACAAGTAAGGTCCACTAATCGGAACAATCATCATGAAAGAAATACTAACAATGTGAAAGCAAAAGCTTAAAAGTTAGAAGCTTCCTGTCGTGACCTTCTAGTGTAGCATTAGAAATTTTTTAACAAAACAAAAATTTGTGACTTATGCATGTTCACAGAGTCAGAGCTATTTTTTAACATTTTTACAACAAGTGAGAAAAAATGTATGGCATTGGTGGTGGCTAGAGGGGACCACAGTTGAGTCCTACTTTTGTTTTCTTTTCCTCTGTTGTTTCTGTTCATTTGATGTACATTTTGCCTGCATTAAAAACAACATGACTGCTCAGTGTAAGACTCTTAGTTTAGTTACCATTTTAGTAGAGGTTTTTCGGCGCTCGCAACTGCATAAGGTCATATATGAGCGTCAGAAGATTAGAGGTCTTACAAGAGAGTAACAAACATAAAAAAGAAGAAGGGGAGATAAGGACGATAGAAGTTTGATAGGAAAGAAGGAGCAAACCACATTAGAGCACCCGCCAACCACCCACAGTGTAAGCCTCTGCCATTCACCATTTTGAAAAGTGATGTATGACGGGGTCTTACACTGAGCAATCAAGCAGTCACTTAGAAGTGTGTCTGGTGCTTCTCAGTACCCAAACAAACAAGCATCACTTCCTGAACAGAATGTAGTGTCAACAAATTTATCCCAGAGCAGATGCTGACTCCCATAGTATACCTGGATTGAGGGAAAAGTCTTTTTTTTCACGTACAGGAGATCCCCTTGTCTGTTTCAGCACTCACCCACAGTACAAGTTACAGATATAAGTTTCTGACACATAGAACAAGTTATCTTCAGATGTAAGTTTCTCACTCACAGTACAAAGAAGCTGACACAGGTTTATTCAGAGGTTTCTGATTTACTTAATTCGATAACAAACAATTTGCACACTCTACCATGATGGGGTCTGTATCACTAATTCATTAACAGGGATTGTTAGGAGTAAGTAATTAATAAAAAGTCAAATATACATCAAAATCAGCTATCAAATTAACATTTAAACAAACAAGCCTGAGCATACCATCCATAATGAAGACAAACATTTATTGGAAGACTTTTCAGCCCTGCACTTAGCGACTTGTGAAGTCTTTACCTACCTGTCTCCCCAAATGTCTGGAACACTCTCTACAGTGACATAACACAGCTGATAAAAACTTGTAACTTCTTTGCCATATCAACAGGCTGAAGGGCTCAAACTCAAAGGGCCAATGAATCAGAAAAGTAAAGTAAAATAAGTAAAGAAAACTTTTTAGCTTCAGAGGTAGTCTTGAAAAAAAATTGAGTCACAAAACACTAGTTCTAAAGACAAGAGTATCTGCAAAAAAGAAACAGAGCCTGTACCTGTCTGTTGGGTACACTGTTACTTCTACGATGGCCAGGTTTTCCTGATGTCATCCGCTCTCCCTCACAGTCTGTCTGCAGAAGTGAGCCCTGAACATCTGGAGGAAGACTTCTAGAATCCTGGGAATTCACTAAGTAAAGAAAATGACATCAGAGGTACATTATGTTGTCATATCTAAACTTAAGTATGCTGGCAAAGAGAAGATCTGGTACATAAAAAAGGAAACCAAGAACCACATTTTTTCTCATCTACGGAAATACAAAATGTTGACAAATTGTAAATTAAAAGTTTTAGAAAGTTAAACATTGACATTTTCAGTAAACAAACAAAACAAGAACATCAGAATTAGATGCTTTCACGAAAATTTCAGAATATTGTTAAGATGTCTTTCAAGAGTGCCATCATCTTCTTGCATTAGACAATGCCAAATCACTTCTGTTGACAAATCACATTTTTAAATGAGCCATGAATACTTTTCGTGCCAATTTTATGCCCCAGCCAAAATAACAACAACACTTACATGATTATCTTAAGTCATTATTGTGAGGATTTCTTCTTTAAAATTACAAAAAACAGCACAACCAGCTAACAAAAAAACCCAAAGTGCAGCCCTGGCAATCACTGTCCAACATTTTTATAAAACAAATCCTGCCATAACCTTACCAGTTGGGCCATCAGGGTGCGGGGTAAAGAATCCTTGGCCTCTATACTTGCTGTGTGCTTCCACTTGGTCAGAAAACAAAAGGTTAGGATCCTTTCTGAGAAGAACAAGACCATTAGCACAGTAATCATTATTGCATTACTAAAAAGAAATCATTAAAGAAACATTTTTTATCTTCATGTTTCTATCAAGCCAATAACATCACTGTGGTAAAAAAAGATAGTGCAATAGTGTTTTTTAGGGAGGGGATTTTATCCAAGGCTGTCCGTTTGACTGAACATTTTTGGGTGCTTGCATTCTATTTTTTTCTTTGTTTTTGTCTTTACTTAGCACAGATAATAGAGTTTCCTTATCAGTCATGTATTATCTTAATCAATATCATAATTTTCAACTGGCTTCATTTATACACTCGATGCAAAATTTGAAAATAGAGTTATGTTGCTATCCTGCATCCTGACTACAACCCACATCTAATTAATCAATTTTCTTTGTGGCAAAATTTCTTCCACAACACCACCGCAGCATTAAAAATCTTTTTTTTGTTTGTTTGCTATATTACGCATTTTTGTGAGAGCTTTATCTCCTCATTTTTTCTAGTCCTAGAATTATGGATATATATATAGTATAGTGGGTTCTGCTATGTAGGCTATGCCTTCATACATCCTACCTGGAGCCATCTCCAATCCTCTGCACATTGTCTGATGGGGCCGCCATGATGTGAGGATATAACTCTTCTGCTTTACTCAGCGCTGATGACTTTGGGGCTGGTGCGATCTTATTGGCAGCTTGACTCTGGAAAAATGACAGACTGTGTACAACTAAGCACAGATAACTCAACATGCAAAACTCGAATTCATACTCTGAACAATATGGCATTTATCGACTGAACTGCTATCATATTCTTTGTATTGGCAGCACTGATTTCTCAAACACCCATAAGAATATGTTGAACAGCTCATCTCGAAAAGCCCAAACAGATTTTTCCTCAAAATTGTCTTTACTTCAAATTTCCCTGCACGCATTATGAAAAACGGTCAAACCTGACATCATCGAGAGTATCAGGATACATGAGCCCACCAGGTACGCCCTCGCATAGCGTGATGTGACACACTGCTGGTATCAAGACACAAAATCACACACAACCCATAAAGTGCGTAACTTCCTTGAATCTAGTCATGTGAGGGTGGGTGCTGGGTGGTAAGATATGATCGAAGACAGACAGTATCGTGCTGCACTGAGCTATATGGTGTGTGAATTATGTTTGGGTTTGATTGCGTGCGTGTGTGGTTGTTTGAACTTGAAGGTATGGATTGGGACGTGATTACATAAGAGGGGTTGGTGGTGCGTTCTGACCAGTGTTGGTTATATTGTTCTGACCCTGATCAGACTGTTCTTAGTTGCCAGGTTCAACAGGATCCCTCTCTTCCTTTCTTTTGCTTTGACACCGTACAAGGCACATGCACAATCCATCACTTCTAGTCTTTTAGCAATATCACATAGCTTTCATGATGGCAGAAAAGAGAAAATATTTGTCAGACAATAGAACTCCCACAGCAAATTTTAACAGAGGTTGACTAAAAGTCCTGTTGTAAAATGGAAGTTTGTTAAAGGTATGATATCCCTAAATCAACCCTTTCAGCGTTTCTATAAATTTGAGATAAAATTTTAAATGCCAGCAATTGATGTCAACCCAACCGAAAGCAAGCACACTTTGCTGATACAGTTACTTCCCTTCATTTCCTTCCAAATCTCTCTTTTTTTTGCAGTTTTGCGGCTTACTCAAATTACAGATCTGTTAATCTTCCACATGATTGAGATAACCAAGATCACCTGAATAAACATTCTAATAATGTGAACAGGAAATTGAAATAGAATACAAAGATGAAGTCAAGCAAAGTAGCGGTACAGTATTTTCTTATCTTATACTTGAAGATGCAGAGTGATTTCTGAGTAGACAGAAAGGACAACATAGAGAAATTCAAGTGAAAATTTGTTATGGCAGAGTATCATACAATTTAACATATAGTCGTATTTTTTGTCCGAAAACGAAAAAAAAAACTGATTTATTTCTGAACACTATTTACACATGTACTTTGGTAAGACCATGACAAAGCACCTTTTAGATAAATCAGAGTGAAGACTATCAAATAATTGAATAACGGTTTAAAAAATTCTCATGCCCACAGCTTAAACTCAGATAAATTCAGGTAACCCCAAAACCCAATAAAAAACTTTAAAAGAATATTAGTTTCAATATAATTGGACCAAAAAAAAACAAAAAAACAAAAACAAACTCACTTTGATAGGAGCATCATCCATCGGCCTATCTCGATGTTTTGGTGATTTGGGAGCATTCAAGAACTTCAAACCTAGAACAAATTCATGATGTATTGTGAATTTGAAATACTGTGAATGTTAATGTATTTTGAGTTAATTGTCCGAGTGAAAAGGCCAATGAAATAATTAGGGTGAAATTCTTTGGCAAGCCCCATCCCTCATTTCTTGTGGAGTTCCAGGAGAGAATAAGAATTATTTTGCCTTGATGTATTCTAAATGGGTTAATGCATGGGGGGTGGGGGGGGGGGGGAGGAGGGAGAGAAAAAATGAGCATGTACTGTGATTAATAGACTTTAACTCTTTCAGGATTTTTAGGCACTGGAAAAACTATAGAGTCAAAGAAACAGCGCGACTGGAGCAGTGGATGTTTCAAACACTGACCTAGAGCTCATTCAGAATAGGCAAAAGTACAACACTGATGTTCAAATGCATAAACCCATTAGATTATTCAAACCAAGGCCATACTGTAATTCTTTAGTATTTCCTTCTTCCTCACCCTAATGCAAAGACTAAATTGCAATCACAGAAAAATTTTCTTGTTCCTGCATTCTCATTGTGTGTAACATGACATTTGGGGAAAGGCATAGCACAAATATGGGGCAGTGTGATATAAGAATAATAATAATAATAAAACAATAAATCACATTTATAGTACTCTAACCCATACATGATAAAGACAAAAAGTATAATTTATATTACAAACTTTAACTATCGTCATTTTTTTTTTTTTTTAAATTGATAGTTCGGGATGAAAAGAATTATTCAACCCCCCAAAACAACCTTTTGTGTTGGGATACAGATAACAGGCCAAAAGTGATGGAGAGACAGATTGAAAGTAGGTCCTACCTGCAGCGCACTCCCACCACATCTGAAGTCTTGACACAACAATATTTTAACAGATAACGAAAGATAATGGCAATACTTTTCCCACGTCAGCTCCTAACACATTGCAGTAAAAATTAAAACTTAAAACTTCAATTTGCTTTTCTTTTCTTGATATGCACTTCAACCATAAAGAAGAAGGAAAATACAAACACTCACTATCCAACGTGTAATCTTCTACTGCGTCTTCTTTTGCTGCTGAGCCTGTGAGAGGGCGAGGAGCGCCAAAATCTCCATTGTTGCGATTCATAACATCAATGACTGCCACATCATCATCTACCAGTACTGAGGACAAAATAAATGATTGTGTCCTATAGGCCACTGAAGAGCTATAAGACCTCATACAAGTAACTGAAGTAAGTGGACTGTAGGGAGACACATTTTAATTATTTGTTAACATTACAAGAATCCAAACTAAAAGAAAAGTAAAAGTAAATCTCACTGTAGTTAAATTCCTAGATAGACTCTTGTTTCTTTTTAAAACAAATTAATGTTACAATCTTTGACTTAGGCCTAATCTTATGAGATGCAACCTAGCTTAATTCTGTTGTTTAAGTGCAAACTAGTTTACTGACATTTGATAACAATTCAATCTCTTTCTCTTCTGAGGTACCCAAACCCGAACATTTTTTAGTTCATGTATAAGAGTCGAAGTTTGTATTTGTGATGAACAACAGTTTTTTACTAGGCCTAAGTAATAGTTTATGCCAACAAAATAATGATTATTCCAGTTACAGAGAAAGTACGTGTGTATTCCAAAAAATATCCTCGTACAATTTTTACAGTATAGATAGTGAAAGCTATCACCATAAGAGTATGAATAGCAGAACATTTTCCCCGACATATCATTATAAATAATTTAACATGTGACAACTTATGACAGAGTTCATCAGCGTACATATACACTGCCCACATTTCTGACAAGGAAAGCGGAAAAAAAAACTTTGAATTTCCAGACTTTGTAATCCTGGTGCATACATCAAAATTGGGTAATTACGCTTTCACGTTTGCCATTATCAAGACGTATTTGTTCAGAGAAATGTATACATAAAGTTTGATTTGCCAAAGCATCAGACTAATTCTTTTTAAAGGACATACAATACATGTTGCAGATTCATATGGGGACAAAAAATTTGATCCACAAAAATGGATGTTTAATGCTTGGAGAATTACACAGACGATATAATCAAAATAATCAGTTTTGTGAAACCTAAAGCCAATTTTCTGTATACTCTAATGCAATAAAACATTTGGACCATTGAGGAATCCACTTCTCTCTCCCTGAATAAAGCAACAAAAGCAAGTTAAATTATGAGTGACCAACCTGAGGGCCCTTTCATTAGTTTTGACATCATTTCTGTTCGTGGATGTGGGGATTTTGAGACATTCGGAGGTTGTGTAGGTTTTGGCGTCATCTCGGCGGCTTGGCTACTGCTGAAATGGACCAGGGCAGCCTGTCGTTCCCGGTCCCTGACACCTCTGTCATCTGATCAAAAATATGTAACATCAAAAGATCATAATACTCCAAAGACCATACTGAATTGCTCGAGCTGTTAACGATGTTTTATAAATGAGAGGGATCTATCAGTTTCACTTGTGAAGACAGATTTCCTAATGTTGAAATAACAATTTTAAAATAAAAAGACAAAGATTAACTTCCCTTATCTCACAGATAAAATAGGACCTTGGGAGAGAAGAACAGATAACAATACTACTAAACAAGTAACCTTCAACCATATAGATAAATATGTTACATTAATCATCTGCCCTGGACAATAAACTGACAAAAAAGTAACATGTTTAAGATTAAATCAAGTTAAACGTCACAATGGGAATAGATTTTTTAACAATAACTCAAAACTTGAAAAAAAAAATCTTACCAATACACAACTAGATTTCCTCCTAAGAGACAGAGACCAACTGCTTCAAATTAGATGCATGCTCAGACCACACTCTTTTCTATCATTTTATATACCCATGAATAAACGGTCCAGCAGATGCAAACAAGGAAAAGAACATAAAAAAAGAATTCTACTTCATACATCTGCACATAAAGTCAATCAGAAAAAAATCCAACTACTGCTGATGTTTGGTTTGAAATTAAGAGCAAGTTTCCACAATAACAGCCCAAGTTTTCCACATTAGATTATGACAAAAACACATCAACCACTTGCACAAAAAGTATCATCGTACCAAGTTTCTGAAGATTTGGCAGCATATGAATGAGGTAGAGTCTGTAGTCAGGTTCATTCCTGGTCACTGGGTTCAGACGGAGGTCAAGTTCCTTCAGGTTCTGGTTGTGCTTGAGTCGAGTCAGTTCTTCCAAAGTGCTCACATTGTTATAGTAACTGAGCTTTGTCAAGGAGATTGATGAGAACAATACTGAACTTACATACATCTAACATAGCAGATAATGACTTGTGGGGATATCTACTCTACTATGAATGAAAATTCAGTCGAACCTGGCTTAACGGAAACCTGTCTTAACGCAATCTCCCCGATCCCCCCTTGATATATTCCTCTTTAATTACCTGTAAAAAACGGAAACCTATCAAATGCGGAAACAGAAGAAAAATCTGCTTCCTTCCGAGTGTTTTACCTGTCTAAAACGGAAATTGTTTAGTTCGCTCAGCCCTGATTTGAAACAAGACTCGCAAATTTAGTTCTGCCAGCTTTAAACTAAACGCCATGCTTCCGGGCAAGGAAAGGGAGTAGGGGTGCAATTTGAGGGTAGATTTTTACCCCATCTATGTGAAGCCTGAGTCATGGCGTACAAATACCGCTCTTTTAGTTTGCTCAGCAATGGAACGACCAGGTCACGGTTGGCCGGGTCACATAGAGGTCACCAACCCCACCTCAAGCTACCTGTGTGGGCAGCCGTTAAACAGAATTTTTCAAAACATATTTTATCGGCTTACGCAAGCAAACAATATCATATGTTGACACAAGTTTGTTCTTTAGAGAAAGCAACTTAACTTTTTTATTGGTACGAAGAAGCAATACTATGGCTGCTCACGTTTTGGAGTTAGATGCTCTTAAAATGTCTGTCCATTAACAGTTAGTCGAAACAACAAAAACATACTTCAGTAGCAAATAACTTATTAACTTGCCGATAAATATTTATAAAGCTGGTAAATAAGACAGGTTTATGTCTGAAAATTTACTCACTGAAAACTTAGTCTGCAACAGTACTGTGGACTTGTCATGAGCATCATAACTAAAATGCTTCCCTTCATTCATGGCTTTTTTCCAAAGGAATATGTATCCTCCTATCATTATACAGCACCGGGTTCTCTGTTTAATCCCAGCGCCTCTAAAAATCTCATGTCTCTGAACAGAAGGTATCCTCTTAAATTTGGTGGCCATTTGTATGTCATCTGATTGTTTAGATGGGCCCGCTATGTGTTCTCTGGTGTCTTGTAAAATACATGCCCATTTGTGTTCTGTTGGTGTCTTGACTTTTATGTCTGTTTCCCCGGAGCATCTATTCTCTGTAAGAATAATGGCTGTCCCTTTGTTTTCAAATTTACAACTTTCTTCTTTGGATCTAAATTTAGTTTTCTTTTGATGAGATGTGTTCTTAGTCTCTCTTCTCCTTTTGTAAGAAGTTGATCCTCTGGCTTGTTTAATGAGTGAGTGAATGTAAGTTCATATTTGAACATCGGAGATATTGACATTAACACATGTTGTGAGTGTTTGTGACCTTGAAGTTTTCATAAGTTTTGATGAGGTGATGGGATGTGGTGTTAGGTCAAGACCTGTTTCTCCATTATGCTCATGGCTGGATGGTAGTGTAATGGCCACTTGTTGCAGGGCTGGCAATAAGACTTGTTGGTGTGTCATCATTTACAGCAAGACTATATAATGTTTGTAATATGTCGTCATGGGAGCAGCTCGACCCTAGAGGAGCAGCTTTTCTTGGTATGTAGTCACCAACAAGACTCAAGCGATGCTGACAAACGGAAAAAGAGTTCACATTTATGTTATTGTTAAAGGTACACCATATGTTACTACTAGCTTCAACAGCTATCTTTCGGCTTGAATTGACGTAACACTCCTTCTGATTGTTGAAATCGCAGTAAAACACTTGACACAAATATTAGCGGAATACGACAGTTCACCTTCGTTCTCACATCAGTCCAATAAATCAAGAGAATTGGAGATTTCTGTAACCTTTTTTTTTTGTTTGACAGTAAAATTTAAATGCCCACACACTCGCCAAAATTCATTCAGAGACTGTCTATGGCTCTTGAATGTGTAATTCATTGCAGTTGAACCATTTTTACCTTGGAACACAATTCACTAATTGGTTGCAATCCACTGCAAAGTGCTCCAGAAACAAAATTCACATCTTTAGATGCTTCGATGACCATCTCAAAGTATAAACAGAAATAAACACGATTGAGGACAGCAGCTGAGAGGTGAGAAGTTTTGAATACTTGTGACTGCTTGCCGACCAGACAAGTGACCCTTGATCCCACCGGCTGGGCCTTTGAAACCTCCCTCCATTCCCCCCCCCCACTAACTTCCCCTGTCTAAGACGGAATTGTTTTCTGGCTCCTTTGCAATTCCGTCTCACACAGGTTCGATGGTAGTCAACATGTTATGATTCTGTATATTTTACTTTTTTTTAAATTGCATAAATATATCAGGCAGAATGATACTTTGTTAGATACAAAATACTGGCAAGATGATGCACATCTCTCGTTTTCTCTCTCTCTGTCTCCCATCTCTCTTTCTTTCTGTCTCACTCCACACCCCCCTCCATCCCCTCTCTCTTGGTCTCCCTCCATCTCTAAGTAATAATAAGAAATCTACAAAAAGGATACAGGTTGAGTTTCTCTAACACCTGCAGGTGATCTAGGCCCTATGAGAGAGAAAGACATATATATAACCACATATAAGTTTTGTCATAGGCTATGTGGAAGGTCTACTAAATGAACAGTTAGTGTTTACAAATATATTTCGATATCATGTTTTCATACACTTATTAGCAACAAAAACTTTTTTTTACAAGAAGCCATTTAAAAGACCTATCAAATTCTATGAGGAAAAATATCCACATCATCAGTTCAACATTAAAAAAATCTAAACAATAGCAGTTACAGTCTCAGTGTACTAATACTTTAACTATAATTCGACGACAACACACATTTTTTAAATTATGAAAAAACAATTCTTGAGCATAACATAATTGTAAAGCCATTGTAAAAGTCTTACGCCCTCATTGATTCAATATAACTTATACTTTCATCATTTAGGGGGCAAACCTCAACCCTGCCTGTCAAAGCTAAACCAAGCTGAAGGGGATACAATATCTGTGTAGAGAGATGGAGATAGTTTTATAGAAATTCTGCCCACTTGAAAAACAAACTAGCATCTTCTGCATGCAAAGGCAAAGTACTTTACCACTATACCACAGACGTTGGTGCATAATACAACTGATAGATACAAAATCAAAATCCCAAACTTGGTTGGTAAAATGAAATATAAAACTTACTTGCAATGATTCAAGAGCATTTCTTGAAAAATCAAGAGATTTCAGACGTGAAAATTTGCGTAAAGATGTACCTATGGAGACTATCTTTTCATGAAACGTTCCAGGCAGGGAAAGCGACTTTATGTCCTCTGAAATAATCACAAATGACGTCGATGAACCAATTTTCAAATTAAACGGCAAAAATAATAAATAACTTCTCATTCACTTCACTGTCAGTACTCATGTTCATTCTTCAATATAATCTATATATCTGACCATTATGTATGCCTAGTATGTTATCTTCATTTGTAAAACATACAAACATTAAGTTCTTGATAAGGGAGCATGCATTAAAAAAATCCCTTGTAAAGTATTTAACTGAAAATTATATTATAAAGGAGGGGAATAAGTAGCCACTAAACAAAGGGAGGACGTTTTTCTCAAGGCTGAATAACTGTACTTGATATACAGGTAAACCCTAATAACATAAACTTTATCGAAGGGACCAGTGGATTTCTTCGAGTGTAGCAGATTTCGAGTTAAAAAGAAGTCGCAATGCACAGAATAAAGAATGGGGGGGGGGGGGGGGGGGGGGAGAAGACTCCTGGGATTTGAAATCCACCTTTAAAAAAATCTGACTTTTATCGGAGTGCATTATAAAACAATCTGAGTTAGAGACAAAACACCCTTTGGTTAGCAAGGTTCTCTGTCTCAAACGCTGCTCTGTACCTCGCTAAGGTAATAGTGAGGTTACTTCAGCACAATATGCAGTTTTCAGTTGCTCTGGACTAACCTCGCTGTCTTTGGGTTGTCTTTCAATTTACAGGTTCAACATGCCCTGGCTTGTTTTATTATGTTCCGAAGGCCAGCTATGAGCTTATATAGGCCTACATTTTGCTTGAGTGAAAATGTCTTTGTCCCTCAACACATTAGGTAAAATCGATAAAATATGTGACAAATGGGAGGAAGATAGGGAGGCTCATTGACCTGTGGCAATTGACCAGCGCTCTGATTGAACGTCACAGAGGTTCAATGGATCATTTATATATTGTGTTGCCGTAGTGGATAGTATGGTTTGTTCATGATTACTCAAAGTGGGTTTTCGATCATTTGTAGTTTAAATTTCGATTTAATATTTTTACACACATTGTGTAGTAGGGTATTCATAAGGAATCTTTTGGTTTAAAAAAATTGATTTTTAGCAAAGTCATGAGGTGTTCCATCAAAGCACTGATGATATTAAAGCTAAAACAGATGTTCAGCTCGTACAATACCCATAACAGAGTTTAAAAAGTGGAAACTGATTATTGTTCAAGCCCTCAGTTTGGTATGAACGAATTGAACAGTCCACTTTTTGAGAAACTATAAATTAAACAGCATTAAAGCTTTAAATTATATATCTTACACAAAAGAGCATGTAACTCTTAATCCACATTAAATGAGGAAGCGGCTATCCTCACGCGGGATGAGAATAAAAAGACGATCAACCTCTCACCCCGGGTGAGACTTGCCAGCGTTGGCTATTTTCACCCGGTGTGAAACAAGACCTCTTTTTCCTAATTTCGGAATATTGTCCATCGGTGTGGATGATCAAATTGACAAAAGCAAAGAAAAATTGACGTTAGAGCACAAAAGTAAACGAATTTGGTCGTCTACAAAGATGCTATGGCTGTTTCACTTTTCGAATCGAGCCGAACTACGGGGGTCGCCATTTTGTTTTGAACGGAAGTTCTCGCAAGATCTACTCCTCCCCTCTCTCTCTCTCTCTCTTTCTGAATACTGTCTATCGGTGTGGACGATCAAATTGACCAAAACAAAGTTTTAAAATGACGTTAAAACAAAAGTAAATTAATTTGGTTGTCTACAAAGATGCTACGGCTATTTAACTTTTCGAATTGAGCCGAACTACGTGGGTCACTATTTTGTTTTGCCCGGAAGTTCTCGCGCTAGCCTACTGCTACCCCTCTCTCTTTCTTTCTCTCTCTCTCTCTCTCTCTTTCCACTGCCCACAGACAAAATTGCAACGCTTTTAGGCTAACAGTAATAACACAAGAGCGCTGGAACGTTTGTTCACGGCACAGAATTTTACAATTCTGTTATCACTGTAGAATTCTGTGGTTCAGGGTGAACGCAACACTGCTTGGCCTAGGCTATAACGGTGAACGCAAACCGGGTGAGAATAGCCAAAAGGCTCGCCTGCACTATTCTCACCCAGTGTGAGAATAGAGGTGGCCTTAAATGAGGAGGATGAAAAAAAAAAGAAAAAAAAAGCAGCCCTCAGATCTGATTTCTGACTGCAGGATTCTCTGGTAACTCACTCTGCCAGCAACAGAGAACAAGACACTGTTCCCTAGATGCTAAAGAAAGAGAACAGTCCTCAGTACAGAAATATAGGATTGGCAGTAATTTAAAAAACAATCCAGCACCAATGCAGATGTTTCATCAGTTATCCATTTCATACATTTGAGGGAGGGCAGATTTTCCTTTGAGATATAGTGTGCACGCGAGCAACCATTAATTTGACAAGCTCTAATCCGATCATGCATATCAGATTCTTTTGACCAAATGACAATGGGAATCCGCCGATATAAACAAACATATTTGAAGTTTTAAGAACAACAATTTAACCTCCTTTCACAGGGAATCTGAAGATTCTCCAGTTCACAAACCAAGGTATTCAAAAGTATCCTGTTATTAAAAGAATTGCAATGGCAAATTTATTAACCTAATGATAATGACACTGACAGTGGCAGTTACTTGACCCAAGGCTAACAACTGCTTCGGCTTCAGTGACTGACAGCCCTCTTAGCTAGAGCTGCCTCTTTCAGCTCTTGCCATGGGCTCTTAACAGAAGGGTCTACGTTACAAGGTAAAGTTCATTTAATATTTTCGAGTTTTCAATGTGATATAACATGGCTATTCAAATGGGTTTTGGTGGAATCATTGCGTTTTCGTGTACATTTTACGCGTCATGTTCAAACACGTTCATTACTGTTGCGAGAAGTAGCCTAACTTAAACTAAGAAGTGAACAAGATTAAATTGGAAGTTGGAAACACCCCTTTTAGCTGTAAAACGAAAAGACTAACATTTCTGTGGAAATTTATTAAGCTTGAAAATAAGCAACACGTCAGAGAGTGAAGTAAACCATCACAATTATAACTCACCTAAGTTTTCATGAGTCAAGTTGACTCTGTTACGGATTAATTGTTCAGTTAAGGTAAGCGCCATTTTGTTATGTCCTGGACAACTTGTACAAGTAGAAACAGCAAGTATTTTCAGTCTATACAAAAAAACAATGTATGAATTTATTTCGTTGATAAAATAACAACAAAAACTACAGAATTGGTTAAAAATAATTTTGAAAAAAATTCTTATTTCTTGTTTTAAGGAATTTCCCCTTTTTCATAAATCAATTAATAAAAAAAGGTTATCCTATTTGGCATAGTAATTCCCTTACCGACACCATAGCGTCCCCGGTGATGAAAATGGTTTCTATTAGATTTGGTCGTCTAAAATATGGTACATTAGACGGAATAGATCCTGATGCCCATGCCACTCATGCCACGAACTGAAAGTGAAAGAAGCAGCATGAGCGAGCACTCGCGCGTGCATTCTCACAAACACGTCTTTGACAGTTCATGCGATCCTTTATGGGTATTTTTCTATGGAGGAGGGGGCCAACACTCATGAAAAAAAAGGAAAAGGGCGTGAGGGGGGGGGGGCGCACAAACAAAACACGCATTTTTATGATAGGCCTACATGTTTTGTGAACGTAAAGAGTGGTTCTCAATCTCATTGATAGTAGCCTAAAGTCCATAAGTCCATGTAGTCCCGCTTGTGAATAACTTGAGGCAGTCATGAAGACAATTGGGACAATAGGCTACTAATAAATCAGCTGTATTTACTTCAGCTTATCTGTGACAACGACTCAATTTGATTGACGGATTATATTTATAATAATATATACGGAACCTTTTCTATTCTCTGATCCTTTACTGTGACAAGGGCAAGGGGAGGGGGGGGGGGGGGGTTATCGTGAAACAACAGCCGGGTGCGTATACATAGTATGAAGAGCTATCAAACAACAGTACTGTTCTTCATCACTGACACGAGAGCAAAGTCATTACATTCCATTCCAGAAGCTTTAATATTATTACCTTCTCTCGTCCTCGTTCTCAGAAGTAAGTTTTATTATTAGTTTCACTTTCAAATTATCAGTCTATTCAGCTTGCAGGGAATTCTTGGAAAGAAAACGTTCCCAGAAAGTGGTTAAGGCAACCCTTACTACATGATTTCGTCCAGTTGATTCAGATTCCAAGAAAAAAGAAATGGGCCTACATGTAGCTAACTGAAATTACCAACATAAGTTTGGCTTGGTAGTGTAACAGTAAACAGGAGTGGTTTAGACGCTTTTGCAAAATGTCAGCATGACGAGGTTTCTAATTTTAAAGCATTGTTTTTGCTTTTTCTGTTGTAGATCATAGAATTCGATGGAGAGCAGCCGGATTAATATGGATTCTGATGTGGAGTTGTTTCGTTGTCAAGAAAAGGCGCTGGTTTCAGTAACAAGAAGAAGAAGGCCAAACTGGAAGATCTAATTTTACAGTCTTTTCATTATCAACTATTAAGAAAATAAACGGATTATCAAGCACATAAACATACACAATGTAACCCCCTTTGGGGGGGGGGGGGGGGGAGGAGGGGGGGGTAAGTCTTATACAGCGCTCGCAACTGCATGATTAAGGTCATATGAGCGCGCGGGATACATGAAATATTTTCAGTAGGTAGGAAATTATTAATTTTGCTTGGGTGGCAGCCGAAGCCTATTCTTATCGATTTTAGACCACCAAGGGATCTTTAATGTGCGTAACTTGCACACGAGACCTCCGAGATTTTTCACCCTTGTCCGAGAAGGCTAGGTGTCCTTCTTTCCTACCATAGAGTCAGGGGTGCTGACGAAAGACAGCAGTAAGAAGCCAAAAAGTAGCAGTAGAAAGCCTGCAGAAAAAGTCAAGAGCCCAGGGGTGTGGGCAGAAAAAGGAGACGAAAGCAGACAACAGAACAATGCTAGAGAGCAGGAAAAGGGGTTAAGGGAGACAATACATGTATTTTAGAGAAGAAAATTGTTCCGTCGATACCCGCATTCGAACCCTGGACCCTTGAATGAGAGAAGAACACGTTAACCTCTAGGCCATTTGAACCCCTTATTGTACCCTTAGTAAGAGTTGTTCGGATGAGAAAGAAAATGAACGTCACAATTTAATTTAATTCAACATATATGTAATATAAGGCAGTTATCATTTTGATACATGTATACCGGGTTATCTTGACATTCCTACTCTAATACTAGCACATGTAATCTTACAGCTGAACCTGTTTTAATGCTTATTATATGGCCACCTGTACGATAATTACTCGTAGGCTTATAAATGGCTACTTCCTATTTTTTCCCCCCATTGCGTTTTTTTTTTAACATTGAAAGAAGACAGCCACTTGTCTTCTCGACAATGAGTGCTGTCTTGAGTTGAGTCTCAGACAATTTCAAGGCCCTGAGAGAGGAAACATGGCCAACTCCACAGACACTGTACTACAGGAGAAGCTCTATACGGGCCGACAGATGAACTAAGCAGGACGGCGGACAGATACCGGACTTCAAGTGTGATATAAATAATTATGCAATCGAGAAGAAGAAGACAATTTCAACTGTATATATATAGGATACGCATGTAATAATACTACCATCCTTCTAAAATATCTAGAAATTATAAATTTTACTTACTTGTACATGTAGGCCTACATTCCCTTTTATTTCTACCCAAAACTCATTCTTTTGCAAGTCAGTTGTCCCGTTTCATGCCACAAACCAGTTGCTGACAATAGAAAAACCTATTTTATCTTTCACATGTCATTTGTACATGTACTATGGAAAAAAAAAGCCGTCTTGTCTTCATTTGTCTTCAAATGGTTTTACATCTATATATCCACTGCATCCGAACACGAGAAGCAGTCACCCTCTTACTATAATGGAGAATCAACACTTATTAAAAAGTATAATTTGATGTAGGCTTTCGTGATATCTACTTGTTTACTCTGCCTACTATTTGCTTTCATGTTTTTAAGTTGCCATTCTTATTCTTAACCCATCAAAACAAAACTATACAAAGTGTATTAAACTCAAGCGAGTACAAACCAACAGTTATGAATCTACTCCAATGGAAGGACCATACTCATCACACAACATTCTGGCAAATCTCTTTATTTACTTTATGCCATTCAACACATTCTATTTTAAAATCTTAGTCTCCTGAAGATTTAAACAAACTTTCAAGCCATTATGAGAGTACACTATAAATATACTGATTTCATTCAAAGCTCTGTTTGTGATTATTGCCAAGTCAAGATTTAAACCAATTTGCGGACCCCTTTGAGAGTGTGTACAGCTTTCATTCAAAGCCCTGAACTAGAATTTTTAAACGCGGACAGATGAAAGTGAACAAGCTATAAACATACAATTTCATTCCTACCTGCAAATATACAGTAGCACCATTACCACTTTATCTGTTACAATGCCACCTGAGCAATGCACACAACAGTAACTTTGTGCATGTAGTCATGTAGTTTACTGCAAGTCAGCACATTTACAATTATGGTTTATAAGGAAACAGATATATAGAGGGCTATAATACAGAAAATAGGAGCACTGAAAAAGAAGTAGAAATAGAAACAAACCACAGACAGGAACCGACCAAATACAGAGACATAATATAAGAGAAAAAAGCAGGGTAAGGAGAGGCAAAGATTAAAGACAGCCTGCCATTCTACTGATGAAGTAAGTTATGTAAACTCTGAGAAGTGCAATACAGCGACACTGTAAAAAAAAATTTGTTGGTACTGGAGTAAAACTATTTTAGAGGGCATGTCAAACACTCAAAGAAAAAACATAAGTAACCCCCCAACCCCATAAAAAAAAGAAACAAAAAGAAAACAAAAAACAAAACCAAAAAAATACCCAGCAACAACTTAATTCCACTGATAGAACGAGTCACCTTCTCGTGTTAATAAATTTGTGCAACTATTATGAAAGTAATGAAAGAAAAGCATATTTGAAATGTCAAATTTTCATCTTTATTTACACTTGTTACATTTTTATGAACCATTTCATAATAATAATAACAGACCTACTCAACACATATCAATATATATATATCATTTACAGGTAACCACCAATAAAGCACAGATCAATATTAGTAGGCTGCTGGTAAAATCATTTCCACACCACATACATGTGTATGTACATGCTTTCAATATTTTCTTTTTCACTTCCCTTCAATTTTAAATAGTTTTTAAAATTCTGTTGTTAGAGTTATGAAGCAGCTTTAACTCAGTCGGGAAGTAACGTAAGCAAATTATTAATCTTTCTCAGCAATGAAAAATCAAGAAATGAGAGCAGTAAATGAATTGGATGATGAATTCAAAACGTTAAAAACAGTACATTGTGTAATATTGTAATTTTGTCATTTTACATTCTCTTTAGTTTATTTTCCTCATTAAGTTCTACTCTATCATGAAAACACACCAAAGATATCCACAGTTCCTGACTGTTGTGCTCCTTTGTGATTAGCCACTGTTCCATTGTTTCATTTTTACACATTCCAAACATACTCATCTACACACACACACACAGACACACACACTCACAATATAATAAGATCAAAGGTCAAGACTTGGCTTTGTCTTGAATTTCTTCGCAGCACGATCTCCGGGCTTTACTATGAACTGATTCCCGTGGATTGTGAAGACATAATCATGCAAAACTATAGTGAATATACTGTTGGCTTTAGGAATACCTGAAAAAGGAAAGAAAACAATAAAATCAATAGTGGCCATTAGTGAAGAGCACGGAGTCTATCTATAATCTGACGTACGCTGATGTAATAGTAATAGTAATAATAATAATAGTTGATCTGTCAATGTCTGATGATGACCAATTCATGCACAGAGGGGAATGTCTTTTAAGCTACATAATACATAAAAAAGAAAATAGGATAAAGATGACTTGTGACTTCTGCTATAGCCGATGAGACCAACACTGGCAAAGAGGAGTTGGCCACAATTTGAACATACATTAGCTTCACTTCTACATGTGACTGTGCAGCTTGCACACTTGCAGGCTTCTTTCTTGGCTTCATCAATTCTACTTTGTGAAGCTTCATATGATTTGCTGCCCTTTGTGATCGCTGCTCTCCAACAGGGTCTGTCAGGTTAATGTAGATTGCAAACAAATATCTAGGATTAGGGTATTCATTTATTCAATATCTATGTATAAATAAAATACCTCTATGACAAAAACACATAACACTTTACCAAACTAAGTAGCCATGATAAAATATGTTGGTGCAGGTAAAAAAAAAGTTTGCAGTAATTTTGTAATAGTAATATAAAGGTATGTTTGTTGATTGATAGTACTCTTCTGCACTTCTCATAATTTGATATCAGACCACTTCTTCTATCTTTTACTACCCAAGCACTGAAAACATATAAAACAAAGTAAATAAAACGTTATTTTACTCAGCTTCTTCAGAAATTAGTCCTAGAAATGGGAACACAAAAGAATAAAACTAATTTTATATTATACAAACGAAATAGCATATGAAAAAAATCAAACAAACACACCCAGCAACACCTTTTTCTGAATAGCAAGGCTAAGTCTCAGTAAAAGACACTGCTCTCTAACAGCTATTGCTATTTGATATTGCTTGAAATTTTTTCATGACAGAGTTAATTCATCAGCCAACAACTGTGTTCACCGCTGTTCCTATTGTTTACTCACTTTCTACAAAGTGTGAGCAAAGTCAGCAAGCGTCTTACATCATGGCACAATAAATTCATATGTCTGTTCTTTGAGAGACCGGAACATCATTTTCTTTTTGATGTTTGAATTTTGAAACTTCAGCCACCACCATTAACCCTTTGTTCTATTACCAAATCCTGTATTCAGGGAGAAGAATCATCAATAACTAATTATCAAGGTAGAAACTTTGCAAGACACTACAGTACAGCAACCTACTTTTGATTTCATTACAAGGCGTCACCAAAACAAACATGTTTCTGGTCTCCTGAATAACAATGCCTGAAACTCCAATGTAACTGGGACACTTCGACTTTCGCACAGACAGAGGACAACCATGAAGATCAGCCTTCATCATCTTCTGAGCTGCTGCAGGTAAGTTTAAATTTGGTGAGCTGAAATAAAAACCACATATTTTACACATTTAAAGTGACAATTTATAATTCAACATCCTTACAAAAGAAAAGTTAAAACAACTTCATAACAACTCTGGAAGGGCCTATTTATTTTAGTTTACCTCAGTGCTCAGGTGATATAAAGAGGTGAAGAGAACTATGATGCATGGCCAAATAAGGAGAAAGGCAGCGGCTATTTTTATGGTCCCCTAAAGAAGGTTCTAGAGGTTATTTTTATGGTCCTGCATAGACGGTCTCGGGGCTATTTTTACAGTCATGTATTGTAAAGATGGTCTTCGCTGCTATTTTTACGGTCATGTAAAGATGGTGTTCAGGGTTACTTTTACTGTCATTAGATTACATGAAAAATGTACATGAACTTACATCTGATGTTGTTGTTCTTATTATTGATATTTCATTAGCTAAGAAGTGCTGTTGTCATTCAAATGTGAAATCTGGATTCTAGATCTAGTTAGGAACTGGATTTTATTAGATCTAATTGCTTTACAACTTTGTCATTTTTGCAATATCTAATTTTTGTCATTTTTGTTGGGAGCTATTCTGATTTGTAAGCAGCGCGTACATGTGTTTAGAGCCATTAATTTATATTTGATTCAGCTTTGTACTCCTATTACTTGATTCTTTAATCATTTGGCATTATAAGGAGTCGACTCCCATTAATCACTTGACACTAATAGGAATCAGAGATTGCATCCGACCTAGTCATGACAAAATTACGGTAGTTTGCGCATTTTTAGAGGTAAAGAAAGGGGTAGGGTTAGAGTTGGGGTTGGGGTAGGGCTAGGAGTTGGGTCTCTTCTTTATTATATTTGTTGAGGGTTAAGGTTAGGGGTAAGGGTAGAGGTAGAGTCAGGATTAGCCCCCCTGATTAGTTGTAGTCTTTTCTTTTTTTTTGGGGAGGAGGAGGGGGGCTGATTAAGGTAAGTTTTAGGGTTAGGTTTTTCTTCTTCCGTTAAAACATGTGCGAAATGAAATGGTCAAGTGTTTTTTTCTCTTCATCCCTTACCGTGACACGGGCGAACAAAAAAATAAAACAAAGGTAGACCGGTATGGGGGCTTTCGTGGCCTAGAGGTTAAAGTGTTCTCCTTTCATTCAAAGGTCCCTGGTTCGAATCCGGGTAGCGACGGAAAAATTTTCCTCTCTAAAATGGTCTCCTTTCACCTCCTTTCCTGCTCTCTAGCAATGTTCTGTCGCCTGCTTTCGTCTCCACTTTTTTCCCCCACCCCCTCACCTCCTTTGCTCCCTCCTCTGGGCTTCTGACTCTTTCTGCAGCCTTTCTACTGCTACTCCTTGGCTCCTTCTCACTGCTGACTTTCAGCCACACCCCTGACCTTCTGGTAGGAAAGATCTACACCTAACCTACTCGGACAAGGGCGAAAAATCTCGGAGGTCCCCTGTGCAAGTTATGCACGTTAAAGATCCCTTGATGGTCGAAAATCGATAAGAGTAGGCTTCGACCACCACCCAGGCAAAACTCCAAATTTCCAACCAACTGAAAATGTTTAATGAGTCCCGCGCGCTCATATGACCTTATACAGTTGCGAGCACGTAAAACACTTTCACCATAAAAAAAAAGTAAATCTCGCTGTATTTCAAAGCTTCATTGATCATTTTCTTGGGGCAACCCTGGAGTGCATTTTAATTGTGCGGGTACATCTTTTATAGAGTGTAACAGCAGCTGATTTCAAATCAACATCAGTTGTATTTCAAGACTTCGAAAATTGAAAATTCTTGTCCAACAGCGAATTGAGGAGAAGCTTCCTCCATCATTTTGGCGCTTACTTTAATTTCGGAAGTTGAAAGTGAAAAAGACTTCAACTTCAGTACAGAAAAGCATCTTTGTCGTAAAAATAGCCCGGAAGACCATCTTTATAGGACCTTAAAAATAGCCCCGAAGACCATCTTTACATGACTGTAAAAATAGCCCAGAGAACCTTCTTTACAGGACTGTAAAAATAGCCACTGCGAAGGAGAAAACAAGCATAGCATAAATTATTGAAGAAGCCCAAAATTTGCCCTTTTCCCAAGGGAAATACAAAATTTTGCGAGTAAAAGTACCCTTCACTTTTGTGGTATTAAGTGTCTGAAACAGATTCTCATAAATGTTTAAAAAATTCCTATTCATTCAATTTTTAAGAATGAAATTGAGAGCAAGAAAATCTCTCAAGAGACAAGTTCAGCCAAGAACTAGTATTTTAATATGTTGACCAGTTTACAGTGGATGGCTAATGCAGAAGATTCAGAACATTTTTTAAAGAATTGACAAGGATGAATGTCTTGTCCATCTGCCACAAGTTAACCCTTCCGGCCCCATATGCGTATACTTTCAGCAGCACTTGTACCTCCCATTGTCCCAAGAGTGTACGGTAAATTTTTTGTTTCGAAGGAGGGAGATACCAAATTCACGCATTTTTTAAAATGGCGGTGAACCTAACTAAAATTTATTTTTCATAATATTTGTTCGTTTACTTTTAAACATTGTTCTATGTTATTATCTAAAACTCATTACGAAAATACTGCATCACTTTTTAGAATGCATGCCTCTTTTTCTGAAATACTGCTGTATAGGCTGAGACTGGGGTTACGGAGTGCACAAAAATGGCTGGGGCTGGAAGGGTAAAGAGAAAGCACTTCCCAGCCTTCAATTGACCTGACAAACATTTTCATGCTAAATTTACTGAGGTTTAAAATCTAAAATGTCCGAAATTAGTTATTAATATGTATCATATCAGCAGGATATGATATAAATTTTGATGGATAAATGACCGTCTCTTACAGGGAAAATAATGTTAAGTGAAATATCTTATTGTTTTCATGCATCAAGTGGCAATGTGCAAGTTAACCCCGAAAGTCCCAATTCGGCTCAAAACTATGGATTTTAAGTTGTAGGCATTTTTAGCTTCTTCAGCCTCTCTTACAACTATTTCATCGCATAAGAACCCTCTAAAGCCTTATTCTTCCCATACCGGGCATGTTTGTCTCCACCATTTCCTTATAAGTAAAGTAAATATTTTTTTTTTTCTTTATCGTCTGTTTTCTCGAAATGTGGTTTTTCTCTAAAAAAATTTAAATAACTCCTCCACCATTTTTCTTCCAATCTTCATGAAATTTTCACAGAATGAAGAAAAGATTTGATACTAAAAATATGTGTGACGAATTTTTGACGGAAATTTTTATGTTGGTGGTGTTTGGAGAGTGGATTTTCACAGATTTTTGCAAACGCTAATATCACCTCGGAAAAAAATTAATTAAAAATTTTCTAGTACGTTTAGGAAAAATTCATTATGTTTGTCTCCACCATTTCCTTATAAGTAAAGTCAATCTTTTATTTTTCTTTATCGTCTGTTTTCTCGAAATGTGGTTTTTCTCTACAAAAATTTTAATAACTCCTCCACCATTTTTCGTCCAATCTTCATGAAATTTTCACGGAATGAAGAAAAGATTTGATACTAAAAATATGTGTGACGAATTTTTGACAGAAATTTTTATGTTGGTGGTGTTTGGAGAGTGGATTTTCACAGATTTTTTGCAAACGCTAATATCACCTCGGAAAAAAATTAATTAAAAATTTTCTAGTACGTTTAGGAAAAATTAATTACACGAATTTGCAGATCTATTGTTTGCCAAGATGCAGGCAAAACACCCCAATTTATTACCATAAAAAATAGGTGCAGTATTAATTAAGTTAGACATGTCAACAAAATCCAATATGGCCACCATATCCAAGGAAACGAATTTTTGGCCTCATATTTGATTGTGGATTTTAACACTTTGCCATCATAAGGCTCATATTGTAAAAACCCTTGCCATCAAAGCAAAGGCATTATGGGGAAAACCCAAAGAAACTGGGCGGTAAACATCGCCGATCGGCGAGATGTGATGGCAAAGAGTTAAGACTCCTTACTATGCTTGTTATATGTGTGAAATTCTGTAACATTTGATCCACTAACAAGCGAAATAGCCTTCAGCTGCCCCCTCCCCCTGATGAAAATATGCCAAAAGATGTTAGCCTCCTATTCTTACTTCGCCAAGAAAAATATAAATTAAAACAACAGGGACTGGAAAAGAAACAATCTGCTTGTTTCTTATAAGAAGAAAATAGGTATACAACACTGAATCAGAAGAAGGGAAATTTTAGTCCGTTTTATTTGGCAACAAGCCACCCAGTTCTTACTTCTATCAGTAACATTTAACTACATTTATGTCAATAGTATCTCTTTCCATATTAGGATGGGTCAGCTGAACAAAAATTAGACAAAATACCACAAGATACTAATTCAAACCTAGTGCATCCAGAAATCAATCGCCTGATAAAATGCAAATTTTAATCATGAGAATTGGACACTTCTTACTTTGAATCAAATTTAAAGTGAGCACTGCTTACTAGTCTTGTGCACTACTCAATACTTTACCCCTTGCAAACCCTTGATACGGTACTACTTGAGCTAAGGTAAGCTACTAAATAGGGTTTAACTCTTTATTTACAGTCATATTCATAAGGCATGATGGGCGTTACGGGAGGCAATTGTAACAACTGCACGTAAGGGGGGTGGGGGAGGAGAGTCCCGTGGATCTTTGCAAGGGACCTTATTTGTATCAGCCTCCGGATTCTCTTTACCTTTTTCTTTTGATATGTTTTTCATTTATTTATTTATTTATTTATTTAGCGTTTCAGTTCCATCTATTCCAATAGTATGTACAAATGAACCACTTTGATTGGGAACTTTTCATTTAGTGCAAAAACAGAGGTTCTTTCCAAGTGCCATGACTGACTACAGACTACACAAACACACATACCGTCGTCTTAATGCTTAACTTGAACAAAACACACAACTTTAAAAGTAACCAAATTTACTGACTAACCCAAAGAGAGCAACTCTCCGCACTATACGCCTTGACATCACTGACTTCTATTTAATGAAATAAAAACCTCAGCCACTTTCCCCACCGTTCTCGCCCCATAACCCATTACAGTGCTGCAACAGACAAATATGGGGCACGTTGATGTAATATCAAAGCGACAGTAGGGGAGGAGATAAAATCGCTGGGGAGTAACGAGTGCTCGACACAGCACTACAGCTTACATACAGTAGATGAAATTACATGTCAAGGTAAACAAAAGAAAAAGTAATCTTATGCAATGATATAAAGTCTGTGCTGAGAGGTCCTCTCTTAGAGTTAGTCAGTTAATTTGGTATGCCTTATTATACAAGTTTTACCTTAAAAGTTCCAGAATTTACATGGGAACAGAAAACTTCTCGTGGTGAATTTACTTGGTACGAAAGGGGTTAACTGGTTTCAAACAGTAAATCTCAAGCTCATTTAGACATTCCAGCTCAATTTTTTCATTAAAAAATAAACATACCTTGAAAATTGAATCAGTTCCTCAATGTACTTTGTCCACATTTCTTTGAGAGGCAAGTAAGTAGAATAGCTGCAGGGAGAAAACAAGGGGAAAATAACTGAATTCCTATTCATGGTAGACAAATGCATGTAAGTGTTTCCAGTGTTATTCTGTACCTGCATCAGGTGGCAGTTTCAATCTAAAATTTATGTGCCAGATTACAGAACTCCTGAACTGCGAAACACGTACTCACCACCTCACATCAATATGTCTGAAGCATGAAAATGTCACACTTCACAGTTCAGAGTACAAGGGGAAAATTTTAAAAAGCCAGCAAGTTGGTTGAGTTCCCTCTGTGATGAAAGTAGATAAAAAATCGTGAACTTTAGAAGTGAAGCTGGAATAAACAACATCTTTAGGCAAAATGTTTCTTCAAATGGATAGATTAGACTTTAGACAGACAGTTACTACCTTGTCTTTTTACCACATTCCAGTTTCCAGTCCAGCTTTGCTTTCACTTTAGTCCGTGCACCAACGCCAGCCTTGGATTTACCACGCTTTTTCTTCCTTCTTCGAGAGCAATCCACAGACTCAAACTTAGCGCTCAAGTCTGTGTCGGTTTTCAATCTGTTTGTAGGTAAATGCTTTCCAAGGAATGAAGTCACGTATGTGGTTCGAGCACCGCTACTCTGTAGAGTTCACATTAGACATAATAGATGTACACACACATATAAATATGTAAATATATAAATAGTACATACACTACTACTTATTTTATCACATATTACTACTAACACAACTCAACCAAAGACTTGATAGTCCAGAAAAAAGTATTAATTTCTATTGACAAAGAATCTGATTTGAAACCTAGTCTCCCCCCCCCCCCCATTCACAACCCACCAATCCATACACTATGATATACCTCTCCTCCCTTGTCATTTTGATGTTACTTCATTGTGTCACATGGGGACAGTGGGATGAGTCGCTGAGTTTGCTTTTATTTAATTAAGTTAATGACTTTGAGGCTTAGTGAACTAGTGTTTTCATTTTCGTAAGAGTTTTACGGCACTTGCAACACAATAAGGTCATATAAGTGCCGAAGAATAGATGTGTTACAAGAGACTTACATACAGGAGGAGAGATAAGGATGATAGATGTTTGATAGGAAAGAAGGAACAAACAACACCAGAGCACCCGCCACCCACCCACAGGCATATAGTGTTGAGAGTTACTCTTCACCTGTTAGTCAGGATGATTACATGAGATAACTTTTCAGTTGCGTGTTAGGCAGGCAGGCGTATTTGTTCTAAGTGGTACTCTTGTTTACGTTAATTATTAAGCAGACAGTGAGCGTGTTGTGTATAAATATTATCAGTCATGGAACTGGGGAATTGATGACTGAAATCGGACAAAAATACAGTAATTTGTAATGTCTGCAAAACAAAGATGTTTATTGCGGTGATACTCAAGCATATAATCCTATTGAGAAGTGTCCCTTAACTCGAGCACAGAGCATTCTAGTAGTGTCAAGCTTGGCATCAAGGGCTTGAGAACTCGTGAGCAGTATATGTGTTCTGCACAGCATTAGTAATTTGTATTTCGGTATATTCTTATTTTGTGACATATGTTGCATCATACTGTTCCATGTCACATCTACCGACAGTAGACAAAACTGTATCAGCAGAGGATACACACACAATAAAATTGGAAAAAAGTGTTAGCATTTATAAAAACCTTTATGACTAATAGAATTTTGTCATGAGCTAATGTGAAATCCGCAAAATAGTAAGATGCAGTAAGATGATACCCAAAAATATTCGATAACACAAAAAGATGATTAGAGAGACAAAGTCACCTTGTCTCACAGCTCTTACCATTTGATTTGCTTTGCCTCCAAGATCTGCTTGACTTAGTTCTTGGTAAGCTTCAGCTGAAAGATGCAAAGAGAAGTATTTCATCTTCACTTCATTAAAAAGTAAATGATTCTGAGATTATGAATTAAAGAGGTAGTGTTGTTACATAATACATATAATTATTTCAGCTGCATTTGAAGAACACTGAATGAACTATAAAACATAGGCACGTGATAAACACAGCGTTGAAAAAAAAAAGAAAAGTCATTTAAAGAAAAGCTGAACAAGAAAATGGTTTAATATCCTTTCCCTCTCAAAATTTCTATTTTCTAAGAAAATAAGGAATCATAAAAATTGATCCAATGAGAAGACTTTTTTAGCTTCCAGGATAAATATACTTTTTACATATTGCACAACTACATTTTTAATTGTTTGACAAATAAAAAATTCTTTTGATAATCTTCAACTTCAATAAAAGCCATAAACAGAGGAACTCGGACTCAACGAAACCAGTTGGATTCCCCATTTTTAGAAATCAATAAAAATCAATAAAAATAACTCTGATTCAACGGACACATTAATGAGCAGGTTCAGTTTCAACGAAGTCATTTACAGGGTGAACAGCCTGCGATGACATGGCTTCGCTCATTTTCCCCCCAACGAACCTTATCGGCTCCTGGAAACCATCCACGGCACCTGATTCTTTAACAATTATTCACTAAGCCTCTTATGCAACCTATCAGCAGCCTTCTTTCATTCTGACACACGCGTTATAAGTAAGCACACATAGCATGTGTCGGGGTTGTTCAGGTGGCCAGCACACGTGTGACATGTGACTGTGTGTGTGTGTGTCTGGGGGAATTGAGTACAAGTGGTCCGGGTGTGGAATGTCAGTAGAGATACAAATGCGTCACAGTTATTTTTTCCACTCTGGGTACTGATCAATATTAAAAGAATAAGCTAGTGTCTTGATATATAGATCTATGTAATGAATTGCGTGCTGAACTGTACTGTGGAATCAAACGTTGCTGTGTCACACCTTGTCCACAGTGTTGGGGTCACTACAGTCGGAACATGTCCATCTCTGCTCTCCCCCCTCCTCAGGATCCATCCCAGAGTCTGTCTGCTTATATTCTCCATCATAATCTGGTTGGAGATCCGTCAGACTGGTCCGCACAGATGGCTGTGTTTCCCTTCTCCTCTTTGGATCCCCTCCTCCTTCAATCTACCTAGGGTGTGGGAACCGTTATCTGGCCTATTCTTCCTCAAATTTTCCCTTACAGCGGTTAGGACGGTTGGTGGGTCCAGTGTCAAATTCCCTCCCACTTTTGCTTCTCCAGCCAGCTTATCTGCTCTCATGCTGCTGGTTACCCCTGCGTGGCCGGGGCAGAAGATCCAGGCCACTCTTTCCAGGCTGCTCTCCCTGATCGTAGCCTTCCAGTCCGCATATAGCATCCCTTTCTGTACCTTCTGTAGTGTGCTCATAGAGTCAGTAATGATTACTGCTCGCTGATGGCTAGTTTTCCTGATCCAGTGTGGAACCTCACTTATGACTTTTACCTCCATACACAGCAACATAACTAGTTCAGCAAACAATATCATCTTTGCAGATGATAGATGACACAGACGTGCATTTGAATGAATCAGCCTTTTAACACAATGTGTGCTTGGTAGAGTTTCGTGTATTTTCCAGGAATTTTCTAGTATTTCTTTGGCAAAACATCAAAGAAGCGAAAATGACTCTCATTTGAAACCAAACTACTTTTGATTGAGGAAGTCAAATATGTTTCACATTACTTGCTCTGTGCCTGTAATTATCTATACAAAAACCTCATGTTTAATACAATGAACACTTTGATTCAACATTATTGAAGGTCAGGCCTGATGACTTCATTGAATCCGAGGTTCCTCTGTACATGTACAGTCCAATCTGCTCGAACAATCACATGTCAAAGACAATCACCTGTACAAATGACCACTTCCCAATCCCCCGTTGCGTTTTTACAATAACTTTGTCCAAGAGGACCACAGGTTTTAAATTTAAATGACAAATTTTCTCCTCGACAATGGGTGGTTGTCAAGGACAAGTTCGACTGTGTGCATCATACAAAACATTGAGACAAACCATTTGTCACGGTTAAGTCTTTGGCAGAAGGTTCCTGATCCATTGTGGAATTACTTGGGACAGTCCTATTATGAAATGAGACTTCTGAAAGTGGCCATCAGCTTGTTCTGAAAAAAAAAAAAAGAAAGCAACAGACCATAAGGTCATGATAAGAAACAGCTGAGAACTGACACAAATAAAAACAAAGGCAAAGTTGCCAAACCAATATTTATGTTAGCCTATATCACTGCTGCACATTCAGAATTCAGTTTGACATTTGTTGTACATAAAGACCAGAGTAAATATATATATATATATATATATATATATATATCATCATCATGCAACGCAGGGAGAAGAAAAAGGAGATGACAAAGGAAAAATAATAGAAATAACTAGATCTCAACAGAAAAATAATTAATAATACATGTACAACCAGCAAAACGGACAAAAATAATAATGAAATTACTATTAAATCAGTATACCACAACAATTGCGAACAGAGAAAAATAAACATAGTGAGAATCTAGAAATAGTGGTAGTCCTACATTTGAAAATCGAGTTCTTAGGTGAATCAGATTGTAAGACGGATTTCAAGGCCCGCCATTAGACTTCTACTGAATGACTTCTTGGACCACACTTGCTTATTTTTGGTTGAAATATGAGCTGTGGGTGATCGTGATACTGATGCCTGCCAGAAAACAGAGAAGGGGGTGGGTATCTTTCAACTTCATAACAGGAACGGATGTTTGAACCAACCACAAACTACTTAGAGGGATTTGTTGACTTCAGCAGAGCTCACATTTGTGCACAGTTGTTTTATTGTTTGATGCATGCTGCATATAGTATGCAGAATTTGTTGTCTTCTAGTCCACACCAGTCCCACTTCCTCTACCCAAAAATACAATCAACATTATATCTGTCTCCCTCTTCTTCATAATACTGCCGCAAGCTGACAAAACCATTTTTTTCATTAACATTATTTGGGAGCCCATTTTTTTAATTTGCTAAATCGAAAGCCTAAACAGTTACCCTCTTCTGTGAAAAATCAAAGTGAAACGGTGACTAGCTTTTAAATAAATTAGACTTCAAATTTCGGAAGAACACATTTTTTATAATGGTTACGTTGACAAAAAACTTCTCTCGAAACTTCTGTGAATAAAAAAAGGTGTTTAGTCAGCTTATGGCAGTATGGGGGGACTGAAGCACTAAAAGTGAGCAGTGATGTCAGAAACAAAAAGTAGAGGGAGGGTGTGAGCCAGTTATAGGCATATGTTTCCACATTGCCTGATACACTTTTTCCCTTTTTCACAAATCTCAAATAGGCATGCGCTAAAATGTGGTGTCGATGAAAATACGTCAAATTTTATATTTTTAGGCGTATTTGTAAATCACCTAATATTTCTGGGGCTCATATTAGGCTAACATAATCATGATTTTTTAAAAACGGGTCAGAACTGTCTAGTCTGAACCTTATTCTGCAGTGACTTTCATTGATTAATGGAATGGACACGCAAATACCCGAGAAGATTAAACAGTGCGATATATCTTTTTCCCGCTTTAACCGCGGACAGTATTATTGTACTCATGAACCCGTCTCATGCTCAGATATTCCGAAGCACTGGTCTTGTTCATTTTTATCTGCTTTACGCTAATTTTGACTTTATACCCACTACACATTATTAGTTTTTGAGTGTGGATGTTTTTATACGAACCATATTACAATAGGCCCAATTGCGTAATAGTATTTCACTTGTTTTTAACAACACGGGGGTGATCTAAAAAAATCCGGGGTGTTTTAGGGGGAGGAAGGCACATGTATTTCACTATAATTTGATGTTTTGTAATCAGGTTTGATATTTTCTTGAAAACAATTGATTTGCAAAGGATTTTTAAAAAGTGTGTTCTGCAGCAAAAAAAAAAAAAATACAGCAGTTTAGGCCCTAAAACAGTGTATCTGTCTGCAGGTCCAAAAGTAAAAATTTACCCCACGGACACACGAAATGGAAAAAGCCATGGTAAGAGTCAAAAGTCCGGGTGGGCCTCTGACATGAATTTTACGCATGCATTGCTATGAATGATCTATAAATGATATGATCTCAGAGCAGATCTACCTCCCCCATTGGGAGAACCTGTTTTTGTTCAACAATTTTCAATTTCGTCGTACGGTACTTATTTTCATCCCATGTTGATTTGATTACATTTATAGGTTACCGCAAGCAATATTGCCTCTCTGATTCCAAAATGGTTTGACGATACGCTGAGGAGAAAATTTTGTATGTATAATCACATCAACAAGGAGGTGGAAGTAAGATTTCATGCTGGATGAAAATTTGTTTTTAAAGTTTGCAGAATAAATGTCTCCAAAAAAGGAAGGACTTCCGAATGAGGGACCATCCCAACAAACATAATAAAGAAGAGACCTCCTGACCATAACCTTAACTCTAACCCTACCCCTAATGTTCCTTACCCAAACCCTAGCTTAAACCCTCACTGTAAAACCCTCTATTCTATACTCTGTTCCATAGTGATCACTCGTTACGGGATTCCTCCTCTGATAAAACAGTTTCGATAAAAATATTTGTCATAGGCATTACACAGGTTTCCGTTAAGGCATGTTCGATGGTATATCATTTAGATCTCTAGAAATGTCATTTTTGTTAAAAATGATTAAAGTTTAGAAGGAGAAAATAAAACTTTTCTACCCTACCCCAAATCACTTCGTAAGGTTGAACAGAAAATTCCCCTGCAGAGCCAGAAGCCAGGGGCAAGTAACTCTGGATTTTTAATGTAACTGATGTAAACAAACAACTGCTGTCAATGGTATGACTAGTTCTGGTAGTACGAGAGTGACCAACATTATCAGTAACGGCCAAAGATACTTTTTTTATTTGAATACTGAAGATATAAGTAAGAAAGTTGAAACTAAAATGAAACTTTCGAAGGATATTGAAAAATGTGGTGGGCTTTGGACCCCCTACAATGTGATAATGTGATAAAAAGAGTGAATTTGTATCAACACAAGAAGGAAAAGGTTGATTGAAGAAAGCTCAGGTCAAGTAGGCTCTACTAGAAAATCTTGATCGATGGGGGGGGTGGTGTCGGTCCAGGTCAAAAGGCGTTTACCCAGACTCTGGCGCATTACGCAGTAGTCGGCGTGGGCAGAATTAATAAGAAATTGAAAAATCTTGATGATAAGTTCACCTAGCAACAAGGCAAGGTGAAATAGTTAGTATTAAGTTCCTCAGAAGGAGGATATGACTGTTGCTGCTAGTTAGTATTAAGTTCCTCAGAAGGAGGATATGACTGTTGCTGCTAGTAAGTATTAAGCTCCTCAGAAGGAGGATATGACTGTTGCTGCTAGTTAGTATTAAGTTCCTCAGAAGGAGGATATGACTGTTGCTGCTAGTTAGTATTAAGTTCCTCAGAAGGAGGATATGACTGTTGCTGCTAGTTAGTATTAAGTTCCTCAGAAGGAGGATATGACTGTTGCTGCTAGTCAGTATTAAGTTCCTCAGAAGGAGGATATGACTGTTGCTGCTAGTTAGTATTAAGTTCCTCAGAAGGAGGATATGACTGTTGCTGCTAGTTAGTATTAAGTTCCTCAGAAGGAGGATATGACTGTCGCTGCTAGTTAGTATTAAGTTCCTCAGAAGGAGGATATGACTGTCGCTGCTAGTTAGTATTAAGTTCCTCAGAAGGAGGATATGACTGTTGCTGCTAGTTAGTATTAAGTTCCTCAGAAGGAGGATATGACTGTTGCTGCTAGTTAGTATTAAGTTCCTCAGAAGGAGGATATGACTGTTGCTGCTAGTTAGTATTAAGTTCCTCAGAAGGAGGATATGACTGTTGCTGCTAGTTAGTATTAAGTTCCTCAGAAGGAGGATATGACTGTTGCTGCTGCCAAGTCCAAGGGCTCAAAAGCCCATGTTACTTTGAACTTTAGTAGTGAAATGAAAAAAAAAGGATTCTTGTTGTTGACCGAGAATATTATTGCTGGTCTGGTAATTGGTATTATGGCATGGTATCGTAGGAAGTTTACTTTTGTACTTTATCTACCTTTCGCAGCCTTTGTTACCTTTTATACTTATTGTGTCGATGGGAGAGGTAAACATCTTTCTCTTGATTGTTATGTATGGTGTATAACGTATATATTGGTTTTGTTTGTTGTTTCAGTAGAGGTTTTATGGAGCTCGCAACTGCACAAGGTCATATGAGCGCCAAGGGTGGATGTCAACAGAGAAGTCCTTTCAGGGAATCAGACACTTTGCTCCCCTCTCTAGCTTCAACAGCACAAAGGCGGCCATATTTGGTCACATGACTTTGCATATTATGTAACATCTTGTTTATCATGTAGGCCATTACATAACCTTTCTAGAAAGGTTTGATTGTCATATGTGTTGCAGGCAACGTTTTCTTTGAATTAAGGAAAACTGTTGCTATAGCTAAGTCGTCTTTCTCATGCCTCATTTGGCACAATATGGTGTCATCCTCTTGTCTTTATATATATATATATATATATATGTATATAATATATATACAGTAGTCTCCACCTAAGATCCCACCGCTTACGATCCCGGTTCGCTTAAGATCCCGCTGTTTTATGAAAACAGAATTTTTACTATACAAAAGTCACCCCTAAGATCCCGCTCTGATTCACTCTGAAGGTCTACATTCGGCTAAGATCCTGCATTTCAGATCATAATTTGTGGAACAAAAACCCGGGCGGGCACAGCCGATCAAACAAGAGTGAAAAGTTGAGATCAATAAACTGTCCGTCGCGTCAAAGATCAGCCACTATCGTGAATGTGATCACATATACGTTGTAAAACTGGATGAAGCGGTACAATGTTTGCCCCCAACGGGATCACGCCGGGGTGTGAACTGACCGACACGTTTGTTTTCCCCACGCATCGCACTCACACCTGAGCTCTCCCCCTAAACTTACATCACTCGCTGGGTGGATAGGGCCTACATGTTTGTTCCAGGCGGGATCACATCGAACCGTGAACTTTTCCCTGACCATTGCAGTAGGCGTTGATTGCAGCAATTGTCTCTGCGCCCGAATTTGCTAGACAGACTGAATTTTAATTGGTGTGTTCATGACGTAATGGTGTGTAACGACATA